GGCATCTCGAGCTCTGCAGCAAGCAGTTTCAGCATGTTCTTGGAATACCATTCTAATAGGGCCACAGAATGCTCATCTTTAAGCAATGAAATGCATCATAAACAGCATTTACGGTCCGTAGTTCAGCAGCAACAGCACTTTGTTCCCATTCCCCCAAAGTTCACAACTTAAACATCTCTGTCATGCTGCAGAAGTTTTTTTTTAAAAAAGAAAATTGCACAATGAAGGATATTGATTCTCTCTCGCTAATGCTTAATCTTCAATTCCTTTGTAAGAAAAACTTAATCTGACTTTCCTTCATCCCTCACCTAACTGGTTGATTACATTTTATAGCCTTGGCCTCGTCTATCCAGAGCAGAGCTATTTTGAACAATACCAGAAAGTTAAATAAATTGTTCATCTTCAGTTTGTTATACGCCACTGGGTTTCCTACACAGATTAAACCTCCTGCACCCATTTGTTTCTCAGATCCCCACAGTGTCAATGGAGCGTCCATTCATCAATGACAAAGTAATGGTTGCTGCAAATCAATACCCATTGCAATACTATTACTGTAAATCCACTAGCGATTTTTTAAAATCTAAGGCAACTTTGGAGGTTATTGCTTAGCTACCTAACAAAATGATTTCCTTGAGCCTTTTGAAACAATGGAATCTAATATATGACAATTTACAAAAGGATTTATAAGTACACATTCCTGTAGCTACCAATCCGAATACTCCCAACCCCAATTTGTTGGAATTCTGTTCAGACATCATTTTATTTCTGACTCCGTGAAGTTGGATTGCAGTGACTAGGCTTTCAAACAGGTGACCAGCGTTTATCCAAGTGGGTTGTCATGAGAGAGATTGGGTTTGTGCAGGATTTTATATTGATGAATTGTGACGTATTAGACCCCATTATTTGTAAAATAAAATGCAGACGTCCGCCGTACAGCTTGGACATATAGTGTGGCAAAATAATCGCTAAATATACTTATGTTGCTTTTCCATTTCACTTCAGATTGGCAAAGGATCTTGCTAACCAGACCAAATCACAGATTTGTCAGGTAATTAATAACCCTTGCATGTGATACTCTTAAATTACTTCACAGGATTTACTGCAAAGTTTACTGCAATGGTATTTGTAGACAAATGTGGCAGCCAATTTGCACACAGCATTGCAAATGATAAAGAGTAAAAAACAATAGCATGTTCCACTGCACAGTACACAGGAAGAAGTCAAATATGGTCAAGTCAACGTGATCTTACAGACGCAATGTGATGTTAACCTACAAACATCCATGAAATGAACAAATGACTGGAATAATTTAAAATCAAGCATCACCCACAAAATATACAGTCAATTCACTTTACAGTATATTCTGCAAAGCACTTTGAGATGTCTTGAAGACATCATAAGGTGCTATATCAAATGCAAGGATTATTATTATTATCTATGTCTGAATTTTTCACAATGCAACCAGATCAAACTACCCTCAAGTGTGAATGTTTCATGCTCCATCATAGCAATATTCAAGAAGAGCTCAGCATACTTGAGCTCAGAAAAGGTATTTTTCCAACTTTCCAATGTATAAGCATTTTAAATTAAAAATTTCTGCTCCTACTACAGATTTCATACAGGACACAGTAAATTAATTCTTGAGATTTTTAACCTATAGAAATCTTAATATGCTATAGATAATGAGAATTATTGGAAAACTGCATTTGTGCCACTGTGATCATTTCCCTAAACACGTGTTTAAGGCAACGAGAAAAATGCGCAATTTTCTTTTCACAATCAGACCTTAGCAGATACAGCCTTGGAATGTGCAGAAGAAGTGACCTCCTGAAACATAGCTCGAGGAGGAAAGGTTGCTAACGGGGAATGCAGTACCATCAGCGCAAATCATCATCTTGAGGCAATTCTAATGGAAAAGTAAGATTACCTTGTTGAGTGTTCTTGCTACAAATTCATTTACCAGCAGATCGAGACACATAATAGTACAAAAGCATTGAGTAAACAATGAAATGAGACAACCTGCCTGAACAAATTATTAATGCTATGACATTAGGAGACATCCCCCAAATAGCTCCCGCACTGCGTAAAGGCAGGTCACGCATGGCTCCCTGTTCCCTGTGCTGTGTACAAGCAGAACTCACTTATAGCTCTTCAGTTTTGTTTTTTTATCATTACTGATTTCACAGCTTATTCCACCAGCTCTCTGGGGAGGCTTTTGGAGATGTATAGGGGGAACCTAATGCTTAGAGGATGCTTCAAGTCAAAGTAGTAGATAATCTTTCTTCATTCTCAGCATAGCCTACACACCATTAGAGACTGACTAATTGGGACTAGGAAGAGGAGAAAGGCCTGTGTAGTGCACTCCAGCCATTGTGGAGTCACCAACCAAACTACCCCGATTTATAACAACTTTTCTTATATATAGCACACTTTATACAGGGTAGTGCACTGTAACATTGATTCTGTGACTGTGGATGACCACACTGATTTACATCAGCATGTAAATAAAGAAAAGAAGGGGACCAAGGATGGAGTACGTTGCAGATGGCAAGGGCGGGAGGAAAAGCTGTTTGCAGAGAGATTTACAGTTGCCAAGTCCAGTCTTTTGTAATGTATGAGGATTGCTGCAAACAGAAGCCCAGGGTATTTTATCAATACTTGATTTAATGCTGCGCAGTAAGTAGCACTCAAACAGTCTACCGCCTGCCAAATGGGAATCCTGAAATAAATATTCTACAAGCCATTTCCAAACATCAATTAAAATCAGTCTAATCCATATATTTAAGGCAAACAAACAATTATACACACACACACAACGCAAAGCAATGTTCAAAATTCACAGATGAACTTGGTACTAATCACATAGAAAGCCCCAAATTATTTTACACAAGAATATTGGGACCTAAAAAAGTACCTGAAGCAGAATTTTTTTTAAAAAAATGGGAATTGAACAAATATTTGAAAAATCGAAATATTAAGGGGTATAAGAAAAGTGTAGCTCTTTTGGAAAACTGTAAATTCTATGATTTGACAATAAAAACACCTCCTCTCTAACTTAGACGTATGCAAAGGAAGATAAATAAAGGAATGATGGTTTCATGGTACATGGAAATATGAAAATGGTTTATTATAATATATAATAATAATCCTTGCATTTGATATAGCGCTTTCGTCTTCTAGACATCTCAAAGCGCTTCACAGAATATGCTGTAAAGTGAATTGACTGTATATTTTGTGGGCGAAACAGGGCAGCCAATTGTGCACAGCATTTTCCCACAAACAGTCGTGGATTGAAAATGACCAATTTATTATTGTTTTTGTTTTTATTATTATTAGTGTGTGGAGTAAGGAAACTTGCCCAAGGTTTCGCCCTGCCTGGAATTGAACCCAGGTGTCTCGCTTGCAAAGCGAGTGCTCTAACCACTGCGCTACAGGACTCCACAGGACTTAGGTAACTGCGTGATGATCGCTCAAGTCCTGTGCTAGTTCAAGTAAAGAAAATGCAGGACCAGTCAGTGCTGGTGATGTTGATTTCTTAACCGTTCTTCCTCCAGTATTTTTTGTGATGTGCTCTGTCTGTTCACTGGACAATGGGTAGAAAACCCTAAATATATTGGGCAAGTTGTTAGATTGTGCCTCCAAACACACCAGCCCCCACGTCCACACACAAAAATGGGGGAATATTTGACAATGTTTTAGGATGGTTTTCTGCAACATTTCAGTACCTCTCATTTCTGGCTGAGGGCTCTCCCGCCAATGGTGGGGCGGGTGGGTCGGGGAACGTGGAGCAGGCCAGAGCCGGCTGAGCGGAGGGAACGGACGGGTTGGTAGAGGGTTAGGAGTTTGCAGAGGTAGGGTGGGGCGAGGCCATGGAGGGCTTTGCATGTGAGGACCAGGATCTTGAACTGGATTCTCTAAAGGATAGGGAGCCAATGGAGTCGGGTGAGAGTGGTGGTCATGGGGTCATGGAGTTTGGTGCGGGAGGAGACACGGGCTGCAGAGTTCTGGATTATCTGCAGCCTGTGGAGGAGTTCGTAAGGCCGACAAGCAGGGCGTTTGCATAGTCGAGCCTGGAGGTGATGAAGGCATGAACAAGAGTTTCAGTGGCCTGAGGGGTGAGGTAGTGGCAGAGTCGGGCGATGTTACGGAGGTGAGGGAAGGCAGAGCAGGTCATGGCTTGGATGTGGGGGAGAAAAGACAGTTGAGGGTCAAACAATCAGGAGGGCCTCAGTCTTGTTCACATTCAACTGTAGGAAATTTGCCCTCATCCAGGACTTGATGTCCGACAGAGTCTGTCAGGGCAGCAGTGGTCCTGGAGTTGAGGGTGGAGGCAGAAAGATAGAGTTGGGTGTCATCCGCATACATGTGGAAGGTGACCCCATGTCTGCGGATGATGTCACCAAGGGGAGCATATAGATATTAAAGAGGAGAGGGCCAAGGACAGAGCCCTGGGGGATGCCAGATGTCACAGTGCGGGGGCTGGAGGAGAAACCGTTAGGGGCAACAAAGTGGAGACGTTTCAAAGACGTGATAAGGTGCTATATCAAATGCAAGGATTATTATTTTTACCTCATTTGGATATTGTTAAATGAAGTTAGTGAAGAATGCTTTATCTTTATTATGTTTAACCCGGTTCCAGAAACGCACTGAAGAGTAATGATTGAGTTTTATGTACCACAAAGCTATCAAGGCTGGTTTCCCAGGTGCCTCACAACACCCACAACTTCATGGTGTTAAAAAAGCTCATCTTAAAATTTGTGATAATTCGTAAAAAGGATCAATTGTAAACAAGACAGGAAAAGTCTTCCTGCAACTTATTTTAAAAACTAGGATTTGATAATAACTTTACACTTTCTGAAAATAACATCACACATCCTAGCAGACGGATCTTAGTAAAACTCATCCATCTCAACAGAAAATATTTTATTTCCAATGCTGCCATTCCACATGAGTGTTACAACTTTTAAATACAGTAATTCAAGAATATTGGTAAATGTTACCTTGTAAATTCCAGGACGTTGAGCAGTTCATATTTTTCTTCATGCTGAAGCTGTATGGAGGAAAAGACCTCATTAAAATCACCAAACAGAACCCATTCATCTGTGCTTTGTAGTTACTTTCCCCTTGATAAATCTCATGACCTTTAAAGAGAAGTTGTACAGATATTGACCTAGCCACTCAAAACAAATTATGCCAATTTAAATCTTATAAATCTCGACTCTGCAATCTGAAAAAGTGTCAGAAGTTTTGGTTCAGAATTCGATGCATTTCACTGGATGTGGCAGGGATCAAATCTGATTTCTTTTTTAGAAGTAGATCCAATTGCATTCAAACTGCTTCATTATTAGTAACATTTTCAATGTGGATGGTGCTGGGTCAATTTACTTTCAAAGAAGCATCTGTTTGAAAAGTCTATTGGAGGATATAGAGATGGTCAGAAATGTGCACACATCAGGGAAAAGGGAATATGAGAGAGGTACATGAGGGGATTGGAAAGTGGTACTAGAGGGAGCAGGAAAGTAGTGAATGAGAGGCGCATCGGAGGTGTATAAGGGAGGTGGCGGTTCATGTGGAGTTTCAACACCACTGCAACTAGTTGGGCTGAATAACCTGCTACCATTCTTGTCATGTTGTATGTAATTCTATGTAATATTGCATAGGACACAGTGATTTCTGTGTTGCTGGGCTCAAGGTCAGGAGAATGTTGACTAAGAAGGGAGAGAGGCCAGGTTTGATTATTTGGAAATGGGGATAAACCGATGAATATTTGGGGAAGGGGTGGGGTTGAAGAGATTTTGATTACCTTTGGGAATCGGGAATATCAGCATTTCCCTTGAGATAGACAGGTTGGTAAACTGAAGTTTATCTAATTGTGGAGGACCAGGCTTGATGGGCCTAAGGTCTTTCTTAATGTTTTAGTGACTCACGTAAGCAAAGAAGAGGTGGGAGGTCATGATTTAAGTCTATAAAATAATGAGGGATAGAAAGCGAGATAGACTATTTAGACAATCCAAGAACCAATGAAGCCGTAGGCTTAAATCAAAAGAAAATACATCAGCTTCAAGGGAAGATTTGGATTCTAAACTCTTAAGTTAGAAAGGTACTTACACATTCTATAAAGACTGAATCTGGTGTTCGGCCACTGAAGACAAAGCCCAATTCCTTTGCTGCATTTACCAATGCTCCTTCATCTGTAAGGTAACATTCCCATTAAGTATCAGGATTTCTTCAATTGATAAAACATAAAATCTTACAGAAACTATTATAATAGTGCAAATCAACAGTTTCAGTGCACTGCAAATCTGTCAAATTATGACTTGGTATTCGCTTACAAGATACAGTCAGTGCATTTTACGGTAAATCCTGTGAAGAACTTTGAGACTTCCTCCCGGCATGAGACACACTATCAATTGCAAGGATTATTATAATAATTATTATAATTGTCAGTGTTTCAAATTGTGTAAGTGCCAAATATAAGTTACAAATATTGGATTACAAAATATAGTAAGATGTTACAGAAATAAACCAAATCTGCCCATTATACTGTCAAATATCCAGATTTTAATATTAAAGAAATGATAGGTAAGAGTCTTAATTTGCAAGTGTCGTGGTGTTGCTTTGGTAGTAGAAAGGTTGCAACCCAAATAAGTAAAGTTTACTATAAGTAGTAAAAGTAGTTTTGACTATAAGTAGTAAAGTCCAGGAGGAAGTTCTAAAGTGGATAACAAATTGGGTAAACAATGAAGAACAAAGGGTGGTGATCAACAAATAGGCAATCCAAATGGCAGGTGTGATCAGACCAGTGGCCCTATGTAACTGTTTACATGATTAACAAAATGATCTCAAAGGTATTGAAAGCAGCAACTAACTACTTTTCCAGATAATGCGCACTGCCGAAAGCAGGACATTAAAAAAAGGGATAAAAGTCTTGTTGAGTTCTCTTGACTTTATCTCACAAATGGCAATTAACATTACAATTCTTAAGGTAATGGATGTTAATATTAAAAGTAGGAAACAAACAAAGAAATAAATAAAAGGAAGAGACACTTTTAAGTAGGAGAACAGATGAATGGTTGACAGGATTTGAACAACAACAAGATTACATTTGTATAGTGTCTTTCACGTCAGGAGGACGTCCCAAGGCGCTGGACAGAGTACAGCATTTCAGACCCGAGTTGGGTTTGGGGAGGTAAGGGGGGTGGCCGATGCCATGGTCGAAGAGGAGGGTCTTGAGGCGAGACTTGAAGGAGGGGACGAGGCGGAGTGACTGGGGAATGGAATAACAGAGGTTGGGGGCAGAGTGGCTGAAGGCTCTCCCGCCAATGGTGGGGCGGGTGGGTCGGACGTGGAGCAGGACAGAGCCGGCTGAGTGGAGGGAACTGGTGGGTTGGTAGGGGGTTAGGAGTTCGCAGAGGTAGGGTGGGGAAAGGCCATGGAGGACATTGTATGTGAGGACCAGGATCTTGAACTGGATCCTCTGAAGGATAGGGAGCCAATGGAGTCGGGAGAGAATGGGGGAGATGGGGTCACGGAATTTGGTGCGGGAGAGGACACGGGCTGCAGAGTTCTGGATTATCTGCAGCCTGTGGAGGGAGGAGTTGGGAAGGACGACAAGCAGGGGGTTTGCAGAGTGGAGCCTGGAGGTGATGAAGGCATGGACAAGTTTCAGTGACCTGAGGGGTGAGGTAGTGGCAGAGTCGGGTGATGTTATGGAGGTGAGGGAAGGCAGAGCGGGTCATGGCTTGAATGTGGGGGAGAAAAGACAGTTGAGGGTCGAACAAGACACCCAGGTTCCTGACTGGCTTGGTGAGTACTGTACTTCATTACCACACAATAGAGCAGAGCAGTAAAGGAAATAAAACACTGAGTTGTGTAAAGCATGTCAAAGAAAACAAATACAAGGAATGGACACTGGAAGGTACAACAGCAAAGTGCTGTCAACTATATGCTTTTCAATTAAAGACTTTTTTTTAACATACATCCTTGCACAGCAAATATTCAGAACATCAAGGGCAGAAGAATTGCAAGAAGTGTCACTACAGCAAGCGGATCACGGAACTCAACATTACTGGAGAATCATCATCAGTTACATGTTGAATCCCTTTGAGATGTTCATAATTTATGAAATGTGCTATTTAAGTGCAAGTTGTTGGATTTTGTTTTGCATGATTTGTGGATCTAATATTCTTTCCTATGACAACAAAATAATAATCGTCCAAAAATACAGTCATTACATTGCACAGTAAATCCTGTGAAGCGCTTTGAGACTTCTCAACGACAGGATAATGCACTGTATCAAAATGCAAGATTGATATAGTGCTTTTCCACTGGAAATTACCATCAATAAATTTTCCTGTGAAGCACTTTGTCTTCCCAATGTAAAAGGCTCTGCTCTCTTTTGTGGTAATATGGTCTTCCCAATGTGAAACACTGATTGTCCAGCGCCTTGGGACGTCCTCCCGCTAAACAAATGTAATTTTGTTGTTGTAGTATATCAGATGCAGGAATTATTTTTTTCATATTGGGTGGACATTTCAAAGTGCTTCATAGGATTTAAACTGCAAAGTGTAATGACTGTATTTTGTAGGGAAACAAAATAGCATATTTTCCAAATCCCAAGTCCTTTTGGGGGGAATTTTACAGAAAATGTAAATAGCTGAGTTTAAGAATTCCAAAACAAATTTTTATTGTGAAATTCAACATGGCATAAACTTGTCTTAATTTATTACTTTAATTTGGAGAAAATTTGTGTTAAATGTATGAACACTGAAAAACTAGCCGTCCAGTAGAGGGAACTCTTCGAGGGACAGAATCGTACATCTCGAGGTAGGGAATGAAAGAGCAGAAAGACTGCTCAGGGAAATGTTTAGCACAAGTAACCCAAACGTCCCTTCCACCACGCTCTCCCCAAAAACACAGATGTAATTTGAAACCATCCAAGCAGAGTTTAAGAAATTTACCAGTGACAAATGGGAATACATTAATCTCATCAAAATGACCAGGCTGGGAGCAGGTAAGAAAATAACGCATCATACAAATAAAATCACAAACCAGCAAATCAACTGAAAAATGGAAATCTGAAAGATGAAGGACTTTGTTCAAATTGGAAAACAATGTGATCCTGTTTTATACAAGACATGCCATCAAGAGAGCTTGCAAGCATTGTTAATAAAGCAATGTTGGTCAGATAAACAAGGCCACAATACTGGCTAACCCAAAAGGTTATGAACTGTGTGGGACAATTCGATCAGTCTCCACAAAAACACTGCAGAGCTGAAAATGGAGTTGAAATTTCATATTCCAAGCTAAAATGTGCACATGTTCCTTATTATACAACATGAGCAACACTGCATGAAGGTAGTCATTTCTCTCCCAATCCTCGTTTACTATGGAAGCTATTCAAACAGTATGTCACTTGATAAAATTAATCTACCATATGTAAGGTTCTACCACTTAATCTCTTTCCTTATGTAAAACAAACTACCCAGATGTAGCTTTCTTTGTGGTCCCTCATTTATATTTACCGGTTCTGATTTTGGTTGCTAAAGTGTTTTAGTTGAGGTGATTTTTGAAACAAAGCCAAAACATCTGGCAATTTGGCAACTTAATTTATAAAAATATACAATCGCAAGCACATTTGTACACAATAAAACCTAACTCACAGGACCAGGATCTAGGCTCATTGTGTGTTAGCCTAGTTTAGTTGATAGCACTCTTGTTCTGAGTCAGAAGATTATGGGTTTCAAGCCCACGTTGGGACTCTGAATTCATAGTCTAGGCGTATTACTGGGGGATCATTGCATTGTTTCAGTTGCTAATATTTTGGTGAGACGTTAAACTGAAGTTTTGTCAGGTGGACGTTAAAGATCCCACATGGCAGTATTCAAAAAGTGTCCTGACCAAAAATTCCTCAGATAAAACTGATCATTCACTTCATGGCTGCTTGTGAGGCACTGCTATGTGCAAATTAGCTTTCATAGTCATCTACAAACACACAGTCACTACAATTTACAGTAAATCCTGTGAAGTGGTTTGAGATGTTTTGATAATGTGATAAAGCACAATATCAAATGCAAGGATTATCATCATCAATGACTGACCGGAGAAACCATCTTTTCTTTGTTGTCCTCTGCAGAGATTATTGGGCTTTATTACTGAAACTCTCTTCCAGATTTTAAATCACCTATCTGAGCATCAGAATTTAAATTGATGTATTACATCTGAAACGTTTCAGTTTTACTAAAAAAGAAAAAGAAAACAAATGCTAACCTACAACATAGTGGAGCGATAATTATATTTGCATTTGATATAGCACCTTATCACTTTGTACGTACAATGAAGTTGGTCACACTCATAGCTGCTCACCGTCTAGTTTGCAAACTCAGCCAAATTGCAGTAAGGTATTGCTAATGGAGACCAAAAACAACAACTTGCTTTTGTTGAGCGCCCTTCAGGCTGGGTAGTGTCCCGGATTGCTTGACAGTGGTGGAGTCTGACAGAGAGCCAAGGGGAGAAGTGGGGAGGTGATCGTAAGCACCATCAAAAAGGATGGTCTTTAGACAGGATTTGAAGTGGGGAGGGAGGGGGCAAGGCAGAGGGATTGAGAGAGAGAGTTCCAGAGTTTTGAGGTGTCGTGGCGGAAGGCACGGCCACGGTGGAACGGAGGGGACGAGGAGACCAGGCAAAGGGAGGGAAAGCCCCAAATGATATCCAGGCACCAGTATGTACATTCATTGTCCAGAGGAGCCGAGGCAAAGCCCTTTCGTTAGGTCTCCCACCCATGCCAACCATCCACTGCTCCCGGGCAAGAAAGGTCACAGGGGTTATCCTGCTCCCTTTGCTAAATAAAACAAAACCATTGAGATGTGGTGGCTATCGTTTGCTAAATTTAGCAGATTATTCACTCTGGACTTATAAATAACTCTACACATTTTAAATTCTGAATACATTTAAATTATAAATGCATCATGACTTATTTATACGTGTGAGGAAAATACCATGTTACGTCAAGGAATTTGTAATGCTTGTCAAGTGGCTCGGAGCAACCCCACTCCTACACCTTATAAATGGTAGATGGCAAACAGAGGAGTGGAGAAAATAATTTTGCACCAAATCTTGTATTATGTTCTCATTCCTGTAACAATGATATATATTATTGAAAGAAAAAAAATAACAATATTTGGTAAATATTACATGGATTGAAGGTTATGTTTCAATAATTGATAGGAGGTACTTTGAGCCAGTAACTGTTTCGGCAACTTAAAATGTTTATATCATACTGGGTTATAATAGAAAGGGGAATTCTCTCTTAGATGTGAGTATTTGTGTGGAATTTGGAAATAATAAGCAAAAAGTAATTTAATACCAATTGCTATTCCATATGGTCAATCAGCTGCACTGACAGGTCCTATTTAAAACTGACGGCCTGAAATCTGTCCCCAAAGGTTTCTTGCACTTCCTCTGGGGCCAAAAATAGTTTGTAACTCGGCTAGGAGTAGGTCAGCACTTCCTGTTTTCAACCTTTACACTCTTTTCACTGTCTTTCCATTTCTATTCCTATACCATAGTTCAAATCCTTCTTCCTATCATTAACACACATCTACAGTGGAATGTAGCCTGACTGGAGGCATCAGGTTCCAATGTAGAGGTGTGAGTTGCGTGCATGCAATCACACGATGTTCCCAGGATATGATTTAGCCAGCGACCTTCAACTGCCAAAGCAAAGGTTATTTATGAAACAATTTTTTTGATAGGTACAGTTCACGATTATAGACACAGAGGATCAGAGAAAACGTGTCAGACAGAAAATGATTCAAAAAGATAAATTTAGAGAGAGAAATTAACTCAAGAAAGAGTCAAACTTAGACTGCTTCCTATACATATTATTGATCTGGATTTGCAGACAACAACAAATTATATTTGTACAGTGCCTTTCCCGTCGGGAGAACGTCCCAATGCGCTGGACAGTCAGGGATTTGGACCCGAGCTGGGGGTCGACACTGGGGAGGATGGAGCGCAAGAAAGGTAGGTGGGTGACTGAAGGCGCGGTCGAAAGGAGGGTCTTGAGACATGCCTTGAAGGGGGTAAGGTAGGGTGCGAGGCGAAGGGACTATGGGATGGAATTCCAAAGCGAGGCGGGGGACATAAAGCAGGCCGGAACCTGCTGAGCCGAGGGAGTGGGCAGGATGATAGGGGGTTAGGAGGTCGCAGAGGTAGGGGTGAGCAAGGACATGGAGGGCTTTGGAGTTTGAAGGTGAGGACCAGGATCTTGAACTGTATCCTCTGTGTGATGGGAAGCCAGTGGAGTCGGGCGAGGGTGAGGGGTGATAGGGTCACGGAGTCTGGTGTGGGAGAGGACACGCATGGGCTGCAGAGTTCTGGATAATCTACAGCCTGTGGAGGGAAGCGTTGGGGAGGCCGACAAGCAATGAGTTTGCATAGTCGAGCCTCGATGTAATGAATACATACACGGGGTTCGGCGGTCTGTGGTGTGAGACAGTGCTGGAACCGGGTGATGTTGTGGAGGTGGGGGAAGACAGAGCTGATAATGGCACAGAAGTGTGGTAGAAAGAATAGTTGAGGGTCAAACAAGACGCCAAGGTTCTGGACTGGCTCAGTGAGGTGGAGTGTGCAACCATGGATGGTGATGCTGTCAGTGTCTGAGGTGTGGAGGTGCTGACAAGTGACAATCAGGAGAGCCTCGGTCTTGTTGACGTTCAACTGAAGCAAGTTAGCTCTCATCCAGGACTAGAAAAGATTGGCAAGGAGGTGGAGCTGGGAGGTGAAGAGAGGGGTACGGATGGGGTCGAGGGTGCAGGTGGTGGGCTACATTTTTGAGATGACAGAGGTGAGGGAAGAGAGGGAGACAGGGTTGAAGGCGTATAGGGAGGGATGGGTGGGGGCCGGGGCGTGTGGGAGAGGTGACAAGGGGGAAGCAGTAGACAGGGCAGAGGTACCCGAACAAATTCCCTCGATTTTCGATTCAAGGAAGTCCAACATCTCCTTGCAGTTGAAATTGGAGGAGAGGATGGGCGAGGCATGGAAAGGTGGGTGGAGGAGGCGGTTAGTGGCGGAGAAGAGGAGCCTGGGATTGTCCTTGGTCTCTGAGATTATCTTGGAATTTGGTGGATGATTTGGTGGAGGCGTAAGTCTTGGTGTGGTCAAGCCAGATCAAAGTAAAAATTTGAGTTTATTACAATCTAAGCACTCTGCTACAGAACAAATTGTTGGGCAAAATACCATTTATTGCTGTGTTTTTTACGTAAAGTTTTCAGCAAGGTATTTGAGGCCACCCTATTATTCTGTTAAAACAGGAGATGGAATTTTGCCAGCTGTTATTTTAGGTTTGATTTGGTCCAGGTGTGTTTGGTAGCATGCACTTGTGCCTTGAGGAATTGGAGATGACTGGTATACCAGGGGATTTATGGGAATATGAAGTGGTTCAGGAGGTGAGGGGGGCAAGGGAGTCAAGGATGGAGGAGAGGGAGTAGTGGAGAATAGAGACCAAAGAGGGTAGGTCATTGTGAGAGGAGGGCCAGGAGTTTGGAAGACTCTAGGGCAGCCGAGAGGGAGTGGGGGGAGTTTTTAAACTTTTTTTTAGATGATTAATGCACAATAATCTTTGCATTTAATATAGTGTCTTATTATTTGTCAATACATCTCAAAGTGCTTCACAAGGTTTTTACTGTAAAGTGTAGTGACTATTTGTGAGCAGAAGGTAATGAATCTACAACATAAGCATTCTCATGATAAGCAGTTCCAGTCCTCAGAATGGCCTAAGGTAGTTAGATTAATTAAAGAGGTCAGATCATTGTAAAATAACAGCTGGCACAATTCCATCTCCTGTTTTAACAGAGTAATAGTGGAATCATATACCTTGCTGAACACTTTACATAAAAAGCACGGCAATAAATGGTATTTTGTCCAACAATTTTCTCTGTAGCAGAGTGACTAGATTGCAAAAAACTCAAATATTTACTTTCAAATTCACACAGTGAAACACTCCTATTATTTCATCGTGATATGCATGTAGATAGCTCCATCAAGTCATCTATGTACACATCAAGGCATCCAAATACACATTATGGCAGCAACAATGGAAATTTACCATCTGTATAGTGCAACGAACATTATTATGCCTTTCATGTCAGGAAGACATCACAAGCACTTTGCATAGATAACTGGACTGGGCTGGAGGTGGGGGAGGGGAGAAAAAAGGATAAGACAGCCAAAAGCACAATAGTACAGATATTTATCAGTTGTTTCATTGCCCTACTTCCCACCCTCAGCTCGGGTGCAAACCTTAGACTGTTCAGGGCCTTGGGACATCCTCCTGACATGAAAGGCATGTTATAAATGTAAATGTGTATTATGCTGTACTGCAGCAAGTTACAACAACAACAACAACAAGATTCCATTTATTGAGCGCCTTTCACGTCGGGAGGAAGTCCCAAGGCGCTGTACAGTTGGGTCAGGACCCGAGCAGGGGGGAAATGGTCAGGGTGAGGGGAGGGAAGGGAGGGAGCGAGGAAGGGGTAGAGAGTCGAGAGGGGAGCTGAAGGCACGGTCAAAGAGAAAGGTCTTGAGACCGGCCTTGAAGGAGGAAAGGGAGGAGGCGGCGAAGGCACTGGGGGATAGAGTTCCAGAGCCTCGGGGCTGAGAGGCTGAAGGCCTGGCCACCGATGGTAGGGCGGTTGGGGCGAGGGATGTGGAGCAGACCGGAGCCAGAGGAACGGAGGGTACGGGCGGGTAGGTAGGGGGATAGTAGGTCGGAGAAGTAGGAGGGAGCGAGGCCGTGAATGGCCTTGTAGGTGTGGATGAGGATCTTGAATTCGATCCTCTGGGGATGGGGAGCCAGTCGAGGCGAGCGAGGGTGGGAATGATGTGGTCGCGAAGCCTGGTGCGGGACAGTACACGAGCTGCAGAGTTCTGAATGACCTGCAGCTTGTGGAGGGAGGTGCCGGGAAGGCCGGCGAGGAGAGAGTTCCCATAGTCCAGCCTTGAGGTGATAAAGGCGTGGACCAGAGTTTCAGCAGCGTGAGGGGTGATGTAGTGCCGTAGTCTGGCGATATTCTGGCGATATTTAGTTTAATGAATTACACATTTTATAATTTACAGGCTTTTTTAAAAAATGATTAAAATTTTAGAAACACCCTAATTATTAATATCATCTCTTCAGCATTCACTCTCACCTGGCGAAGAAGCTTGGTAGATTATCTGGTCTCCATGTTTTTCAGGGACTGCTGTGTGGCAGACTGCCATCATCGTAATAAACTCGCGGATGACTGGTGCGGTAACCTACAAAATTCATAGAAGTAAAACATGGTCAACATGGTTCAGAAAAAAATATATTGTCTATTCCTTTCACACCAATCAATTTCCCCCATCCCTTAAAAACAACAAAGATGCTCTAACTAGAGCCAAAACACATGCATTTATTTTTAAAATGAACCTGTGTTTACTATTGTTTGATTACTATAGTCCATACTGCAATAAAATGTTGATTTTTTTTACTAAGAATAAAAGCCTACTGAAAATTCAATCAGTCTACTTTGGGTTACAAAAAATATAGATAATTGAAAAACTGTACGTCAGCCTGGCTCATTTAGCAGCAACTCTTGCCTCCGAGTCAGAAGATTGTGGTTTTAGCTTTTTGTAGGGACTTTGAACTCATATAATCTAAGGTGACTCTCCAATGCATTGCTGGGGGAAGCACTGCATCGTTGGAGGTGCCGTTGGAGATGTCAAACCAAGGTCTTCTGCCTGGATGTTAAAGATCCGATGGCACGATTCAAAAAGAGAAGGGAGTTTCTCCTGGTGGCCCTCAAATAAAATTGGACACTTCATGACTGTTTGTGGGACAGTGTTATTAATAATATTAATAACAAACAGTAGTACTAATATTAACTAATAAAATCCTTTTAGTTCAATGTAGAATCTGTTGAAATCAGAAACTTTACAGCACAGAAGGAGCCTTTTGGCCCACTAGCTTTCCCCACTGGAGACAACTATTCCCTCTCTCATCTCTCTATTTCTTTCTACTTTCCTCTTTTCTTTAGTATTTTCCTGAAGCTTTTATGAAATTCCTTTTCAAAAGCCATTGTGATCTCGGTTTTAATAGAACACAGTCAAAACTATTTAGTCTGTGTTGCACGTGCATTGTTCTCCACCTTTTTGCCTCGCTAGGTTAGAAGATTTTTCTCCAAGACACTGTCTGGCATGAAGGCGCTTTATAAATGCTAAATGTTGTTGCTTAGTTGTCGGACAGTATAAATCTGCCTGACGACCAAGAAATCTGCATCACAAATGGGAAACAGGGCTCGAATACAGAACCTGGACTACATGTCCATCACTAGGACAGATGCCCCACATGTAATTGCATCAAACAAGAGCTAAAATCTACATACAAACCTAAAAAAAATCAGCATTATAAAAATAGTGTTAGGCTGAATTGTACATCATAGGGCACACTAGGACTTCAGTTAGAATTAGAAATTTGAGCATAGCTATCTATATGAACATATGTTTGTGCCATTCTACCTGTTTCAGTTCCTTTCTCTATACCCTTAAACAGATACTGAAAAGCGCCATTTACAAGCTTTAACTGCAGTTCACCAAAGGCACTTAAATGCTAAGATGAGTTATGCTACACACGCTCCAGCCTGTGATACTCAATATAAATAAGCAGGAGGTGGAGACTGTGGCAGCTGCTTTATTCAATTGTTGGCTGCATTTTATTTAGCAGGCAGCAACGGCTCCTAGCTTTTAGCTGCTACTCAGATCAAATCATAAGATTTTACCTTCAGTAAGACTTGGTTTTACTCACATTTTAGAATAGTATATCCTGTAAATGCTCACAACTTTGGAAATGCAGACACAAATTAATAGTCTACTTTGCATTAAACAGCTATCAAATGCACCTATAAAGTGCTTTGACAACATCATCGGACACCTTGATTTAGTGACAATCTTCATTTTGTTTCATTCCTTTCATAGGTATTCACTGTTTCGGCCACAAAATATACAGTCAATTCGCTTTACAGTATATTCTGTATATTAGACATTTTGAAGATGTGATAAGGTGCTACATCAAATGCAAGGATCATTATTATATATTATTATTTTGCTTACTCTATTAGTTCTATGTAATTTACCACAGGGAAAACGCTCAAAGATTGTGGAATAATGTAAAAGGCAGCCATGCAGTGGAGCCTTGTTGTAATGTGGTGGCCAGGATCTATAAAATCCCAACCTGTGTTATAGTGAGGTGTGACAGCCGGTTTCACACTGCAGGTGCACATCCAGCCGGCTAGCTTGAAGTGACTGAACCTTGTACATTCATTAGTAGTTTTGTGCACTGTATTAGAATCAGAGAAATCAAAGCACAAAAGAAGCCATTTAGCCCCTGCCATTCTGGCTAGCTCATCCATTGGAGCAGTTCACTTATCCCATTACCCTGCTCTTTTCCCACACTCTTTTATCCTATAGTTGATAGACTGAGGCATATATATTCATGAGCTTTCAAAGCTAGTTTTCTTCAGATGGTAAACTGCTTAATAGAGTTTTCATGGGATTTTTCACCCCTGGGTCATAAATCCAATGCCTTGATTTATAAACCACCTCCTCACACCTCAGGCTATTTACGATCTAGTAATGCGATGACAGCTTTTCATGCATTTTTTTGAAAAAATGTATTTCTCCCAGTGCAAATAAAAATGATGCAAACAGAGAGCACATATCAAAAAAGAATTCAAAATGAATTTTCTTCATAATGACCAGACTATACAGCAAAATTAGTTTCTTCTCAGTTAAATGTGCATTTTTCTAAAATGTACTGGTTTTATAATAAGGTGCCCCAATGATCCAGTTTGCCATGGATGAGAATGCAAACTCTAATGCAATCGCTTTGCTATCCCTCAGGCTGTGCAAACTGAATGACCGAATCAGCAACAGCATATATAGGCTTGCAGCAAATATCCATCTGTTTTATGATGGTTGATAAACAACAAAAACTGTTTTTCCATAGGATTTCTGAAAAAGAGTACTTCCCGAGTTTATTCACTGCAATGCAAACTTTTGGATCAACTTTACATTGTTATTTTCATTTGCCAAATATGAGACGGGTTATTTTTAATGTTTTCTCAAGGACAAAAATTTACATTTATGCAGCACGTTTCACATTGGGAGGACGTCTCAAAGCGCTTCACACAGATTAGGAGACTGAGCTGATAGAGAGACAAGTGACCAAAAACACGGTCAAAACTATAGATCTTAAAGCTAGTTTTAACAGTGGGAAGGAAGCAGGCGATGAGAGGCAGAGGAACTCTAGGATGGAGTTTCAGAAAACAGGGCAGAATGGCGGATGGTGGGAGCATCAGGCAGAAGACTCTGTCAGCTGAAGTAGAGGTGATTGGAGTAATAGTGTTGCAGAAGGACAAAGAGGCAAGAAACACAATCTAACTACATTTGGTAAATTTCGATCACATGCATTTTTTCCTTGTACTGCCCTTAGCTTCTAAATGTTCATCACAATCTACAAGTGTCTAAATTTAAGTAATTGAACAGCTTTAATCTCTCACCAGAATTAGTACATCCAGTTAAATAGAGAACAAAATTAAAATAATTCTAACATCCAGATTTCAGCAACATTCAAAATCGGAATTTTAAATTGGACAAACGAAAAGTTATGCGTCATTACCCTGTATCAAATCAAAGAATCAAAATTAAATGAATCACTGATCTTGACTATATGCAGGATTTTATGTATATTACTGTCCCATACCTCTCTATTTAACTTGTGCTTATCAAGTTGGGCAATGTCAGAGCTAGTGAATGGATTTTCTTTCCCACTGACAGTAACAAGCACTCCCAGTCCACGGGGGGAAAAAAACTACAACATCCCACGATCAAATAATGAGCTGAAATGCATGGTTTAAACAGGAGCAGTTCTCCGAGCAAGATATCAGAAGCAACCTGGACAATAGCTATTTGCAATTCTCAAAGAAATAAACATTCTCTATGGCACACTGCATTGCAGCCAGGAAGTTTAATGAGAAAATTAGCTCGGTTTTGACTTACAACTGGAACAAAGCTCTGTTCCAAACAGCCCACGGAGAACATTGCTTTCTAACAGGTACTAAACAGTTTTGTCAGGTTAATGGGAGAAAACTTAAACTTTTGTCATCTTCACATCAGATGACATCTTCTGTGACATTTCAGACAAATCCATTAAATTACATTGCTGTCAAACTACATTATCCCTTCATAGACCTTCACCCTCCCACCCACACACACATGTTTTCATTAGAAGAAAAGTTAACAAAATAGTTGAATAAACAGGAATATATAATTAAAAATGAAGCATTTTTTAGACCATATTGGATCAACTATAATGCTGGAATAAGGACATGCAAGCTGAATTTCTCCATTCCTTCAACCTCAGCCATGTCACTATAACAACCAAGCTCCTCAAGAAGCTCCACTGGTTCCTCATGCCCCAACAGATCAACTTCAAAATCCTGCGGTACTTGAAGATCTTTATTCTAACCTTCAACTTCCCCCTTTGCTACTATTATTTGAGTTCTACTTTCCTGCCAGAGCCCTCCACTCATCTAACTCTGGTTTGTGGCTTATTCCCCTCATCTTCTATTCCAGGGAATATTGTCCTTGCTCTCTAGAATTCTTTCCAAATACCACTTTGTCTTGGACTTTCTTTCCCTGCCTTCAAACTCTCTTAAAAAAAAATATCCTTTTGATTGGGCATTTGTAGCTCAGTGATTAGATCCAGCTGCTAGAAAGAGTTAACTTCATGTACGCAAGGTATTCCTAAGTCAAAACCCCTGGATTAGCTAAAGTAGATGCCATTTTACATTTGGAAAATATGATGTTATTTTAAAAGAGAAAATGATTTTCTTGTAATTGCGTTCATGCATCTACAAACACACAGTAACTACCCTTTACAGTTCTATATTAAATGCAAGTTTGTGGATAAGCATCATGATGGAGTTGAGGTACACATCAGCCATGATCCAGCAGAACAGGTTCGAGGGGCTGAATGGCCTACTCCTGTTCCTATTATTATAATGGGAAATATCAACCAAGACAGCAATGCGATTATATTTCAATGTGGGTGTTACACATTTAAGACTGCTGAGAACGTATTATTCTGACAGTCCCCAAAATGCAGTGTCTTTGTAATTTAACTGTCTATATGAATTCCATATCGCTTTGAACTCCAAACAGCAGTGGGCTGCTATTGACCAGTTGAGGTTTTCTTTTGAAATATAAAAATCGGAAAGAAATTCAATTACCATCACAAAAAGTAGATATAGTGAAAAACGACACCAACAAATGTACTCAATCATTAAACAAAAATGATACTGTAACGTTAAGTTCCCCTCAAAAACATTCCAAAATGGGCCCTGTTTTCTCAGATTGCCGCTTGTGTATGCATGCTAAAACATGGAAAGAAAGCTACTGCTCCTTTTTGCTCTGAGTTTTAAAGTCTCCGCAGTGCATTTTCCAAGCAGCTCAGAGATCTCTAAACCTACATGAATGAAACTTCTTCCAGTTTGGACTCCCTTCCAGATTAAATGTCTGGCCTCACCTTGGCATCTTTGCCAAAGCGGACAGTTCCCAAGCATCTCTTGTGCATGAGATATGCACTATTGAATAGAGTGAGGAACAGAAGGTGCTGACAGCATTGGGCTAGACATTAAAATGTCACGCCTGAATACTCCAAACCTCTCCACACATTGGAAAATAACAGCTCAGGGGACACTCACAAGGGAGTTTACTTCAATTATGTTTTTGTGTGTAAAAACTGTGTAAAATAACAGTACAAAATCAGGGATATGTTTTGATAACTCTGGCAGAACCCCCAATCACACTCTCATTTCTGAAGCATTCTTTGAAAATTCTTAATCCCATTAGGAAATCTAAAGCACAAGGAAAGAGGGATTGAAAATACTTCTTCACAAGTCAAATTCGTTCAAGATACAGAACTAACATAATGTTAACAAACATAAGAAAATCAAAGATGCAAAGGGGCAAAAATACTTTTCTTTTTTTGCTGAATTAATCCTAGAGACTCCAATAGCTGGTAGAGGTTTGTTGAAGATCAAATATTAGTTTTGCTGTTTCACAGAATTACATTACAGAATAGTCACATCTGTAAGACATTACCTGGACATTGCTGTAAATTTATGATGTATTATGTCTGGTGGGGAGGGAACTGGTTATACATTAAACACAGTAAACTAATCCAAACAATGTTCTTAAAATCTGAAATTAATAAAGGGCAATATGCCAATTTCTTTTCAAACCACATATAACTTGTTCCATCAATGTCTGTGCCCAGCACAGTTGATAGAGAGGATCGATTTCAAGATCCTCACCCTTGTATTCAAGTCCCTGCACTCCTCTGCACCCCCCTACCTCTCTGACCTCCTCTCTCCTTAAAACTGTACCCGTTGCCTTTGTTCCTCCGGGTCTGGCCTCCTCCTCATCCCCGAGTCCTCCGCTCCACCCTCGGCGGCCGTGCCTTCAGCCACTATGCCCCGAGGCTCTGGAACTGCCTTCCTCACTCCCTTCGTCTCGCTCCCTCCCTTCCCATTTTCAGGTCTCTCCTGAAGACCTTTCTTTTCGACCGCGCCTTTGGTCACCTTCCTCCTCCTCCCTTGGCTCGGTCCCGGGATCCATTACTGTAAAGCGCTCTGAGACGCCATCCGGCGTGGAGGGCGCTATATAAATCCAAGTTGTTGTTGTTGTTGATAGCAAAAAGTCAGACATTTCTAAGTCTTATACCCTGGATGGCTAGCCGGTTGATTGGTATCTGGAAGTTTCAGGGTTTTGAGTTCAAGTTGGTTTACTCAGTCCTGGACTCTTTTAACATCAATAAAGTAAGCACTCTTTGTTGGTGGTGGAAGGGGGGAGATCAAGTTGGAGATTTCCCCACGAGCTGGACTAACTATCAAAAAAACAATTTGGTCAAAATGTTAAAGTGAGGCAAGTCTACACTAATTCAAAGCATTTTTGGCAACTGACCATCCTGTCTGGTTTATCAAAGAATCTTGGAGCTTTGACATATTAATAATAATTCTTTGCAATGATATACTACCTCATTACGCAATCGAAAAAGTCTCAAAGCACTTTACAGGATTTCATTGTATAGTTTATAGACCAACATATTGAGACACAATAACAATCCTCATACTTCATTTCACAACTGGAGGATATCTTAGAGCACTTCATAGAATATACTATATCTGAAGCTACCATTTCATAGGATATACTATAAAGTGTACTGACTGTATTATGTAGACCTCGGGTTATCAACGTGCGAACCAAAGTCTTTAAAGCAATTATTACCATGGAAAGCAATCTGCCAATCGACTAACAACTGGGTTCTGACTTACTGCTAGGTAAACAGAGGCGTATGGAGTAAGAAAATGTGCCTTTCACAATTCTGAACCTCTGCCCTGCTGCCCTGAAGGATTTGAAGCTACCATTTCAGATTATATAACATTTAGTCTCTCAGGGTTTTAAAATTTCTTATTTACTTCAGTGACTAACTCAATTTTTTTTAAATAGGAGAGTAAAAATTCATGAAAGTTAGTTAAAATGAAGAAGTGACTGATCTTTATGGTAGGATTGCACAAGATTGGTCCAGATGAAGAAGGCCCTTCAGCTCATCTGATCTCATCCGTTCAAAATAATCACCTTACACCATCACAGCATGTTTTTGAAACAAGTCTAGGGTCCTGGCCTCAACCACCTTTCCTGATAATCTGTCCCTTACTACGTGAGATTCAACATTTTTTTTCTGGTTACTGAACTCTTTCCTGAATTTCAGTTATGTAAATTAATCATGTTTACAATGTTTAGTTTATTCACTGCAAATGTCCCCAGTGAGCACTGTAAAACTTTCAGATTTAATATCACTTAATATGCCATTAAATGTTGCACATTCCTGAATGTAAGACTCAAATATTACTCTAAAGAATATTGCACAGATGGTCCTTACAAAGTTCTTTTAGTCGTAAGAATTGTGCTCATACTTCAATCATAGTGTTATGAATGCAGCAGTGTGATATCCTACAATTTGTGAAGTAGTTATTTACTGACTGATTTAAGTTGAGACATTAAAATTATGAAACATGTGAAAAATTGTGTGAAGTTTAAGCACTACACAGAAAAATAAGAGTATTGCTTGCAACAGATTCATAAAGATTAATGTTCCCACAACAAAAATTTTTTCCCTCCTTTTCAATGTTTTCGAATGATAATTGTTAGTGCTGGGTGCCCATGTCAGTATTACCGATTTCCAGGACAATTAGATGCACAACAAAGATCCTTCAACTCTGCTTCATCATTGTGCTTACCTCACCCTGACTCTCAGACCAGCACTTCCACTGCCCCAATACAACATTTTATATTCATCCTACTATTTAAGCATAGTAAAAATTTCCAGTCCTTGTTATAATATGCAATTCAAAGCATTCAGTGACATTTCAACCACAATTTCAGCCCCAGTGCAAAGAAGCACACAAAGATGCAGATACACAGTACTCTGGCTATACAGGCAGTCTTAAACCTTATGAGGTGTCTATGATCTAATAATAATAATGATAATAATCCTTGCATTTGATATAGCACCTTATCACATCGTTGAGACGTCTCAAAGTCCTTCACAGAATATACTGTAAAGTGTAAAATTTTGTGGGTGAACGCGACAGTCAATTGCATGCAGCAGTCTTGGATTGAGTAACCAATATTTTTAATATAAGTATTATTACCTCCTGGGAGAGTGATCCGCCAATCGACTAACAATCAGGTTCCTACTTACTGCTATGTAAACAGAGGCGTGTGGAGTAAGGAAACTTAAGATTTCGTCCTGCGAAGAACGCGAACCTGGGTCATCTTGCTTGTGATGTGAGCGTGCTAACTTACTGCACTATGGGACTCCACTCTACAAAGGGCTTGTATAAGAGTCAGATAATTGACTCTGGGCCAGAGTATTAAGCCATCAACTAGAGTAGGAATCTGAGTTCAAATTGAAATTTGCACTCGAATATCCCTTGCATTTTCCAAGGTTACTGCTTGTATGAATGTTGTCACTTCAGTTATATTTCCTGTGAGATGAACCAAACAAAGATATTTGGTATTTGCAGGAATGCCAGTAAGCTAACCTCATTACACACCTTCCCAACCAGGATCCATGGATGGAGACACTGAACTTTTTCCTTGCATAATGTATTACATAGAATAGAATCTGATTTCCAGCAATTGGGGTGGTAAATTTATTTAACAACAATAAGTTCTATGTATGCTTTAGAAAATCAATTATCTTTCCTGAAGAACAAAAATATAGATACTTACATGTTTTTCATGAAGATTTTTCAGCAATATTTTATCATGAAATCCAAGTTCCTGAGAGGCATCATGACTAAAAGGAACAAAAATTAAGTGAAAACTTGAACATGTCTAGTCTGCATAAAAGAGTTCAAGGTACATGCAGTATAACAGTTCCTAATTATCATGCCAATTTCCTGAGAAAGAAGTTTATTATTAATTGCTTTCAGTGCTTAAATGCAGTATCTGTTGCCATAAATAAAATCAATATCACACAACATTGATTTAAAGTGTTGGATTTATTCCCACAGATCTGAACTGAGACACTGTTCAAAAAAAATATCAGTTTGCCTTTTTATGATGTAAATTTGAAAACTTATAGAAAGTAGCAATACGTTTGTGCCCTGCGATGCTATCCTGTGTGAAGGAACGTTAAGGTACCATGTCCTGAAACAAATTAGTACCAATAATAAGGAAAACAAACTAAGCAGCATTTCATGGAGGTCACATGTACTTCATTTTAGGCATTTGCAAATAATATCATGTAACTTAACTGGGGCTTACAATATCCTTTACTGATTTGAATGAAACTTCACAATGAAGTTGCTTCTCCAGATTGTTAGGTTGACTATGGGTGAACAGCACAGACTGGGAAGGCAAATTAGGACTTTTCCATATTTTGAATACTATTATGACCATGTTAATAAAAAGAATAGCCAACTAGTTTTACCAAATATCTTCACAATTGCAATAACAGCAAATCATATAGAACAACATGTAGAAAACATAATAACTTGCATTTATATAGCACCCTTCAAAGTGGGGTAGTGTCTCAGAGAGTTGAATAATGGCAGACAAAAGGGAAGGTGACTGTAGGCATCGCTGAAGTTATTGAAGAGAAAAGTCTTCAGGTACAATTTGAAGACGGGCAAAGAAGGGGCAAGCACGAGGGATTGAGGCAAGCAATTCTAAAGTTTGGGATGTAGTGACTAAAGGCAGGACTGACGATGGTGGAGGAGAGGGGTCAGGGGACATGCAGAAGGCCCGAGCAAAGGGGACAGATAGAGGAATGGGGTGTGAGCAATTGGAGAGGTAAAAAACAGAAAATAAACTCATAGCAAGGATAGCATTGCAAGGCGTTGAAAATATAGTTCTGGTAAGATCACAGAGTAAAGGTCATTTAATGTAAATTTATGAGGGAAAGTTATCGGAAATTGGAATGGAACCTTCTGAATTGCATAAAAGCATTCAGCTTGGTGGCAGTGAAAGAATGTAATAAAATGTGTTGAAATAGAATCACAATCTTGGTCTCGTCAAATGGTACTACCAACCATTATCTGATGTGTGCCCTTTTGTTCATTAAAAGGATGGATATCCATGCTAGGAATCCTTCTATATTGAATCCCCCCAGGGCAAATATGTATCAGATATTTTTCGTCGTATACTCTAGGTTATTAATGCATTTAATAGTTTATATATACTCTTTAACAGTTATAATTTTCAACTACTATTGAAATAACTTTTTTAAAAAATTAAGATACAGAAGTGAAGACACTGACCCATAAGCTATGCCTGCGACTGTACATTTCTTAAACACCATCACATTACAGGTTAAAGTTCCAGTTTTGTCAGAGAATATGTATTTCACCTGAAAAATATCAAATGAGACAGTGTATTAGATTTCCAGCAAAATTAAGTCAATTTTAAAATCGAGGAGCAATTAGAACATTCTAAAACTTCCAAACAATCTATAATACCTTGAAGGCTCAATTTAAGTTAGCCCCAGTTGAATTTTTATTGGTTTGACAAATGTGGGAACCCATCACGTTAAAGAGTGTTACCCGCATTGTTTCCAGATCTACAATGGAGCCAGTCCCAATTAGTGCCGCTGTCAGTGGTTCTACTGTACTCAATAAAGTATACTCTGCAGTTACTCTTTACCTGTCCAAGTTCTTCATTAAGGGTGGATGTCCGAGCTACGGCAGGAGTATTTGTTGCTTCATAAATCATGTCTTCATCCTAGTAGTGAGGATCAAGAACATAAGAACATAAGAAATGCTAGACGAAAAAAGACCAAGGTCCATCTAGTTTGCCTTCCACCTTCATTGCAGTCGCATGCACATATGTCCCAAACTACCTATGTCCTATATCCCGTACTGTTATTTCTTAAAATAAAACTATCTAATCTGTGTTTGAAAGAATCAACACTTCCTGCTTCAACCGTCTCCCTAGGGAGCCTGTTCCATAGGTTCACTATTTGCTCACTGAAATAGTGTTTGCATAGATTTGTTCTGAATTTACCCTCTTCAATCACAAGTGGAGTCCTGTAGCTCAGTGGTTAGAGCACTCGCCTTGCAAGCGAGACACCTGGGTTCAATTCCTGGCAGGGCGAAACCTTGCGCAAGTTTCCTTACTCCACACACAGCCTAATAATAATCCCTCCAAAACAAAACAATAATAAATTGGTGATTTTCAATCCACGACTGTTTGTAGGACACTGCGCAATTGGCTGCCACGTTTCGCCCACAAATATACAGTCAATTCACTTTAGTCTATTCTGTGAAGCGCTTTGAGATGACGAGAAGACGTGAAAAGCGCTACATCAAATGCAAGGATTATTATTATTATTATATAAGCTGTGTCCTCTGGTTTTACTATTCTGGACAAGTTGAAACAGTCTGTCATGATCTATTTTGCTTTACCCTTTTAGAATCTTAAAGACAGCAATCCTTTTGCATCTCAATCTTCTTTTCCAGTGTAAACATGCGCGATTGACTTAATCGCTCCTCATAGTCCTTCCATTCCCTCAATCATTTTGGTTGCCTTCCTTTGTATCTCCTCAATTTCTCCCATATCCTTTTTGTACTGCAGCGACCAGAACTGTACACAATACTCTAAGTATAGTCTCACCAATGATTTATACAGTGGCAAGATTATCCCACTGTTTTGGCTTGCTATTGATCTTTTGATACATCCCAACATCTGGTTGGTTTCCTCACTGCCACAGAGCATTGTTAGGAGAGCCTCAATTTATTATCAATCAGGACAATTTCTGGTGTTCTAAGAAAATCAGACATGAGTTTAACCGCTTATTGGACTCACGTGAAGTCTTCAAAGCTACTCTTCACTCAGTTGCTATGAACTGATTTCTAATTTAGTAATACGGGTACATGCATAAAAGACACCTTTATTCAGTCATCATGGGTTTGGTTTCTGCACTCTGCAGCCGAAATCCCCAAAAATGTTTAAGACAACACTAAATCTTGACTGATATCGTTCAAAACAACTTGCAATTATATGGCCTTCATGCAAGCTGGTGCCTCAAACTGATTAGCAGTGGTGCAGTTTGATGTTGAAGCAGGAAGAGAGGGGAGGTGAATATTGGAACGGCAGCTAGAGGCATTCACAGTAAACTTAACTGTTCTTAACGCACAAAAGACATAAACTGTTAAAAAGTTTCTCTGTGACAAGTTAACAGAAAAACAGATCTTTGAAAGCCCAACAGACACAATTGTTAATATTAAGCAATCCCATACATTGTCACACTTCGCCTTTGTGAAAGCTAATTTTATGCTTACCCAGTTAATGAACAATGCCTGGACAAATTTTACAACCTCCAGTGTAACCAGTAAGCTGATTGGAATGAGGTTATTGAAGAGGATGATGAAGGTTAGGATATTAAATCCAAAGTTGTCTGAAGCTTTGCCTGTAAAAGGAAATCATTTTAAGGAAACAAAAATGAGGAACAAAAAAAGACATTTGTTTCTACAGGGTGACTGAAAAGTCGTGTTACCATTACAATGTTTAATAGGTCTTAAAGAAATTATTATTTTTTTTAGATAATAGGATAGTTATTACTACTTTTTGGTCAACCTGTACTTCACACAACCTCTTATTATAAAAAGGTGTTTTAAGTTAATACAATTCTCAAGTAAATAAATTAAAATGTTGTTTTCGCTGTATTAAAATAGTTGTATGACATTCTCATACAAAGTTCCATTGTAACAAACTTTAGCGGGTCCAAGCCTCAAATTGGGACTTTGAGCTCATAGTTTAGGCTGACAATCTGACAGTGCAGCAACCCTTCTCTCTCTTGCCCGCTTCCAGGCACCAGCGGTGCCGTCCTTCAGATAAAGCATTAAACCAGGTTCCATCTTGTTGGGATATAGGGATTCCCCTATAATCATTTAGCTTAAAAAAGATATAAAAATCCCTATATCTCAACAATCTGTCTCTTCAGATGGAACCTGGTCACCCTCCCACCTCTCTGCCTTCCCTCATCCCTACACCACCCCTCCCCCATGCCTGGGCCCTGACACCTGACTGTTCAGCGCTTTGGGACGTCCTCCTGACGTGAAAGGCGCTCTATAAATGTCATTTTGTTGTTGTTGTTGTCAGGTCCGAGATCTGATGCCATTACACGAAAAAGAGAAGGGAATTTCTCTCTGCGTCCTGGCCAAATATTCCCCAAATAAACCTGGTCATACACTGTCTGCCATGTTTGCCTACAAATACACATTCACTACATTTTACAGTGAATCCCATGAAGCGCTTTGAGATGTTTTGACGACATAAGGTACTGTATCAAATGCAACAATTATTACTGAAAGAACATTATTTCCACTGGATGTTAGGAGCACAACTTGAAATAAAACACATTTACTGGCTATGAAATGGTATTAAATAACAGAAATCTGCTACCTATATGAAGCAATTGGAAGATTATAGAAAACACGCTTAATCCAAATTAGTTTTTTTTTAAAACATTAACAAATTAACAAACAAGGAATCGGAAGTCAGGCCTTCAGCCTTTCTGTCCCCACCCTGTGGAACTCCATTTCACATTCCCTTTGCCTCGCTCGCTCCCTTGCTTCCTTCAAAGTGCATCTCAAAACCCTCCTCTTCGACTGAGCCTTCGGCCACTCTCCGACTCTCCATGCTCTCCACCCTCCTCGATCCCAACCCCCAGCTCGGGTCCAAATCCCTGACTGTCCAGCGCCTTGGGATGTCCTCCCAACCTGAAAAGCGCTTTACAAATGTAATTTTGTATTGTATTCAACTCTCAAATACGAGGAAAATTTCCTCTCTCAATCTGGAAGTATGATCAACCTTGTTCCTTCCTTCCCTCCATCAGTTAACTAGCTTCAAAATTGGATTAAAAGGCTTTAATTATTTCACTCACTTCCTTCCAGATGGTGATTATTCGAGCAGTCAGTCTCTTGCAGTTGTAACTGAGCCATATTGTTTGAGAATCATTTCTAATTCGCAAGCTAAACTCCTGGTTTCTTTCATGCTGGTTACTCAGTTGGTTATATAAGAATAATGGAAACCTTTGAAATGATTGCACTGCATTAACCAAATTGAAATAGTCATTGCTTTAAATATGCAAGGCAAGTTTCATCAGCTCTTACGTTTGGGCAACAACAGAGTCCCTCAGTGCTCTTCATTTGCAATGAGATTCACACCAGGGTAAATAGCCGTGGCGATTCGCAAAAAAGTTTCAGAACAAAAAAAATACTTTACCTAAAGTCACATGCAGATATCTATCAATAACACCACAACTTCTGCCCAATTCTGTTCCCCGTACAGTTGAGTAATTTTGTACATTGACGGGAATGGGGAGATATTCCACCTGGGGCTAGATTTACTCTGTTATATAGCATTTTGGAGCATCCAGAATTTAGTGCATTCTAAAATACCCTCCGTAGAGTAAAATGACAGGTTAAGAACCGATTTTCTGCAAGTTCTTTTAACCGGATACACAAAAACAACTTCAAAGTGAATTGAAAAATTTACCGGATGCTCTAAAATGCTACCTAAGTAAATAAATAAAAAAATGAATGCTTCTTACATTTGATACAGTGCCTTTCAGATCAGGAGGGAGTCCCCAATCCCGTCAAAGGGCTTCACAGGACATATAATAAAGTATGGTAGCTGTGAATTTTGTAGGCAAATTTAGCAGCAAATTGAACTAACCATTTTAAAACCGAACCTTAATATAGTATCGGGGTGTCCTCCTGACGTGAAAGGTGCTATACAAATGTAATTTGTTGTTGTTATTGATAGCTGTAAACATGCAAATCCTCATCATCACAACAATTATCTACGATTTCATAGCAAGAGAGTTGATTATCAAAGCAGTCAGCATTTGTAAGCAAGATTAGATACTCACCAGTCAAACCAAGGTACCAAAACATTCCATAATGGCTGTTGTTCCATATTAGTGAACCAACAGAACACACCAGAGAAATGAAGAGAAGAGTACAGAACAGAAACAGGATCTGCATATTTGTGATTTGTTCGACATTTGACAACTTAATTGGAGCTCGTATAGTATTCTGAAAAGCATTGAAATAAAACAGATTACAAAACCGAATTTCAAGGGGCCTTTTCAAAAGCTTCTAAAATGTAAGCATTTGTATATACTGTAGTTAGTTTCATAGAATAAAATGGCAGGTTATGTACCAGCGTCATTAAGTAGCTTTCAGGATGTGTTTCTTACAAAGCTAAGCATCAACAGAGTTAAGGAATGTCAAGTGCATCATAATGTACACAAGTGTAAGATAAGGTCCATGAGTTCCAAACATCCTGAATTTTGAAGTGATTTAAAAAAAGTTAAATAAGATACAAGCTACAAAGAAAATAAATATATTGTAGAAGGATGAATCCCACCCCATCCAAAGACTAAAGGGGATGAAAGAGTGTGCATACTGAGATATTGTGTATGATTGAATAATAATAATAATAATCCTTGCATTTGATATAGCGCTTTTCATGTCGGGAGGACGTCCCAAAGCGCTTCACAGAACACACAGTAAAGTGAATTGACTGTTTATTTGTGGGCAAATGGGGCAGCCAATTGCGCACAGCAATGTCCCACAAACAGTCGTAGATTGAAAATGACCAATATTTATTATTGTTTTTGGTTTTGGAGGGATTATTATTAGGCGTGTGGAGTAAGGAAACTTGCCCAAGGTTTCGCCCTGCCTGGAATTGAACTCAGGTCTCTCGCTTGCAAAGTGAGTGCTCTAACCACAGAGCTACAGGACTCCGCGTAGGTGAAGAAGGATTTACAAGCCAGGTAATTAACATTCTTTCCTCATTCAGCATTTTCTATATAATGCTGCTCTTCCCCTGTACCTGACTGAGAGGAGGTTAGTCCTGCAGGTGGGATGGAGGATCCAGGCAGGAGGACTGACCTTCCATAACTGAAATATATTCCTCTCAGAGTCAGCTGAGGATGTTTGTGATCATGCGAGTTATTCCACATGAAATGATCACAAGATTGGTTCAAATGAAGAAAGCTCTGCACATCGTTCCAGAATATCCACCCCACAGACTTCGCATCACAGGTGTTTTTTTTAAAAGAATGAGTCCAGTGTCCCATGGAATAACCTCATTAGTAGTATGTGTTAGAAATACCAGAGAGGTTTGCTGCCTGTCACTATTTGCCTGTAGCTTCATGAATCCATGGCTTTGAGCTAATACTTGCTTCACTAGCAAGGTAAATTATTGTGAATAAAATGTACTCTGCAGATTTTCAATCCCTCAATATTCAGCTACAGATCATACAAAATTCTTAACTGCTATTATATTGAATCAAGAATTATGAATTATTAAGAATCAAGACAATACTCTGGAACACTCTCCCGCAATCCCTCCTACTTGCCCCCTCTCTCTTTTTCAAGTCCCGCCTGAAAACCTTCCTCTTCGACCGTGCTTATGGCTACTCCCACCCCACCGGCTTCGAGTCAGGCTCCGCCGCTTTCAAATGCTCTGAGACGCTACCCTGTGTGGAAGGTGATATATAAGTACAAATTGCTGTAGTTGAAGACATTAGGCCAGAGATCTATTTTGATATAACTCACTCCCTTTTCAAATAATAATGGCCATAATTTCTTAACTTGTACCACAGAGACGACCTCAGGTATAGATCCTGAGATTTTAGATTCACTTCAAACGATTTGAGACGTCTCAACGATGCGATAAAGCGCTATATCAAATGCAATATTTATTATTATTATATTCAACCGAGTCTGATTTCTTTTAGCTTCCACACTTTAAAACTTGCATCACTCCTTCCTGTGTGTTATCTGCATACGTCACACGAGTGAGCAAATTTTTGTTTCATTCAAAAAACATGGAACATTTACTACATTGCCCACTTCTTTGTACCATTAGTCCAATTATATAAATGCACAAGAAATTCTTATTCACATTTAATGTAATACTGTTGGGATTTCAGCCTACATGCAGACTGAGATGAAATTGGTAAATACTTCACGGAACACAACCAGCGTGTTCTCAAACATCTCATTTCGTTATCGCTCGGGCAAGTGGTTAGAGAATGATTGTTGGTGGAAGGATAGAGGTCAGGTTTAAACAGTGGCATTGGATGAACATCGTGAGAGTTTTTGCTCCAATACCTTTGAGATCCAAGAAGTATTCATAAACAACTTTTTCCCAAACAACAAACAACACAAGAGTCATCACTGCAAACAGCAAACCCACAAAGGTTCTTGGCTTGGGAAACCAATACAGTGCATAGTACATCAAATCTCCCGAGTGCACCATACAGTACTAGGATGTGGCAATTGTGTACAACTGGATTGTCTTGCTATATCAAAAATGGGTTCAGCTAAGGCCTGGCACTCCCAGGCCCGGATGAAAGGTGAAAAAGTACAATAATTGAGAGAATTAGTCCTTTCATCCAGCCCGTTCTCATACATTTCGAGTGATCATCATAAAATAGCCCGAGACTGCTAATCTGCTCCGAGTTTATATTTTTGGTGAGGAACATTGCACGATACAAGAAGGAAAAATACATTTATTGACTTTCTTCCCCCAACCCTTCACAAACATTTTTGAACGTGTAACGACACCATTTTGAATATCAACAATTAAACTTTTATTTTTAAACAAATTATTTTCTTACAGTAATTTAGCTGAATATCGTATTCTCCAGGCATACCTGCATGAGCTTTGTATCATGTCCTGTATACACCACCACACCATGAACCCACTGAGTATTTCTTAATTGAGCTCCTCGTAGAAGTATTTGGTCTGGGCCCAAGGGGAAGGTGCTCCTAGTAGAGCCAAACGCAAATGTGAATCTCAGCAAACATCAACATACAAGTGCTCAAACTGTAAAGTTTCCAATTCCTGGTCCAGCCACATTGGGAAGGGGGGTGTGGGAAGAGATAGAACAGCCTGATGAAAGCACTATGGAGTTTAAGTCTGGAGATCTGAACTCAACTTTTGAGTTGGAGTGAGAATAATAATCATGTCAGGAGGACGTCCAAAAGCACTTCACAGGATGTACTGTAAAGTGCAGTTCCTGTATGTTTTGTGGGCAAACGTGTGATACAAAGTACACATTTTGTGCACAAGGTACAGATTAGATTCCTGTAGCGTGGAGTCCTGTAGCTTAGCGGTTAGAGGTTAGAGCACTTGCCTCACAAGCGAGAAACATGGGTATGATTCCCAGCAAACGTTTCCTTACTCCACTTGCCTTTATTTACCTATCAGTAAGTAGCAACCCAGTTGTGGATTGATTGGCGGATCGCTTTTCCGGGGGTAATAATTCTTTCAAAAATAATAATAATAATAAATTGGTCCCCGGGATTTGGTTCAAATTCAGATCTCATTCCAGATCATTGAATCATACAGCACAGAAGGAGACCATTTGGCCCATCGTGCCAGTGCCGACTCTTTGAAAGAGCTCCCCAATTAGTCCCACTCCCCCATTCTTTCCCCATAACCTTGCAATTCTTTTCTTTTCAACAGTTATTATTGAATCCGTTTCCACAACCCTTTCAAGCAGTGCATTCCAGATCGTAACAACTTGCTGCACAAAAAAATTCTTATCTCCCCTATTGTTCTTCTGGCAATATATGCTAATAGTGAAATTTGCCCATACTGTTTACCTTGAATTAGCAAAGTAAAGGTTGCCAATGAATTCGTACAAGTATCGATTGGGATTCTCACATTCAAGTTTGCCATAGAATTTCATTAGACTCTCAATGTCTTTAATTTCTGATGTTTGATGTAGACCCTGGAGAGAAAAGGTAAAACAATTAAAAGTTTTTTTTATTTTGCAAGATTTTGTTATGATAACAGCTACCCATTATCTTTCAATCTCTGATCTTAATACCTTTTGCATTGGGTGCAAATTGGGCATTGCACAACAGCCGGAAAGCCCAGCTAATACAAAAAAACCTTTGCTGCCTCTATTCTCACCTCGGACTCAAGTCACCCCAATCCTTGCCAGGCTTCCCCTCAGCAAACGGAGTGACTTCAAGGTTTTACCCTCACATATAAATACCATCACAACCTAGCACCTTCCCATCTCTTTGATCCAATCATACCCCACTTGACCCCTATTCCTCCACTCAAATAACACAGGTCCTGCTTTGTGACCTCTGCCCCTTCTATGGCACATCAGTGACCACGCATTCAGTCATTATGCCCCCAACCTCTGGAACTCCTCGACTCTAGGACTCCGCCTCACCCTTCTCAACCAGTCTTTAAATCCCACCTTATAACCCACATCTTCGAGTGTGCCTATGGTCACTTCTCCCTCCCTCCTTGCTTGGCCTTCAATCTCCCCACTGGGAAGTACTCAGAGACGTTTTCCTATGTGAAGGACGATATATAATTGCAAGTTGTCGTTACAATTCTAAGGCCAATAAGTGCAATTTCATTCAATAGTCTATTCGGTAAACCGAAAATAAATAGATCACCTCGCAATATTGTGCACTTAAATAGGACAGCTGTTTAATTCTTTGAAAAATATACAGTAAAACTGTACAAGACTTCTTTTCTCAAGACTGAAGAGTTCCTGCTTGTCTAATCATTGCTCATAACTCATTCCTTTAACAATGGGGCAAAATAATTCAGATCTTGCCCACTGTTAATGAGTTCATTTATCACAATCACTGTTCTAGACAATACCATTGTTTAAAAGAAATGCAATCTGATTCTCTTTCCCTCCCCATGCCATCAAGTACAGATGGTAATCGTAAAAAGAAAAAAATCTATTGCCTACTGTGAAACTCAAGTGTACAGAGCTAAAATATGTCAAGTTTCATTTCAAGTCTATGCTAAATTATCTGCTTTCAGCACTTGTACATGAGACAAAGGATTTAAAAAAAATAATGGCAAGATTCCCATTCCTGATCCCTATGTAATGACTCACTTGATGAAAGTATAAGTCTGACCATTTGATGTGGGGGTGGGATGGGATCAAGTTTTACTGTAGTACACCCAAGAGTAAACATCGAAATCTTACCTGTCGGATTTTAAGGTTTGTTTCTCCGTCTAAATTAGAAGTTTGAATATAGCACATTGACTGTGGTTCACTGATATGAAACAGAACACGAGACATTTAATTGCATTTTAAACATTAACACAATATGGCTTGGAAGCATTGAAAGGTTCAAGCAGTTCTTCAGTAACAGAACTAAATTGCAGAGCAGGGTAGTTAGCTATTTAGCGGTCACCAGTGTATCTTTGCCATTAACACATTTTTCAATCTAAAAAAGTGCTTTGTTGGTGCAATTTCTTAATAAACTTATGGCCAGTATTTTTAAATAACTGTTTTGAATAAAATAATTTGAATTGTAATGTGTTCCGTTTTCCATCACTTGAAATATGAAACATTCAAATGAACAAGTTTGTCTTTTGCAAGTCTTAGAATACAGAATTGGTCCAATTCATGTTGTCATTTATATGGTAGCATTGTCTTTGTTGAGTTGATCAATTTTATTGTCAAAATGCTAAATGAACTAGTTCACTGATGTGAATGTTTCAATTCATTTTACACTCATATTAGGTTTTAATCAAGACATTTATCTAGCTGGGTAGACAGTTCTCTAAATGATGGCCAATTACCTTAAAGTTATTCAGTTATAATGATTTTTTTTCCCCTTCATATCTCATTGAACACATGGTTCAACTACATATGTCAAAATTGAAGCCTGTTCTAAAATGAGTAATGGCTATACACAAGATGTTGAACATACCAAAGATACAAGTTTCTGAGAATAGTTATTTCCATATATGACAAGACGCCTCAAAGTATTTGCACCTATTCCTTAATGCACATCTCACAGCCCTCAAAGCAAGCTACCGGATTAGTGAGTTACTCCCTCCATCCCTCCTTAACCCACTACGATTTATAAAGTGGCAGAGGAAAAGTCTCATTGAATTGAGACAATGAGAAACAACACGGTCAATTACAAATACAGATTATATTGACAGAAAAGATGTGCGTTGGGAATCTGTGTGCTCTGCCTTGAGGGGAAGAGCTCATATATGTTCAAAACTAAGGATTAAGCCATCAGATCAATCTACCTAAGAACAGAACAAGAATAATCCAAAAGGCAAAATGATCTGCATACAAGAGTCAGGGATACATTTCAGAACAGCACATCAGTTAAAACAGCAGCAGCAAGCTATACACAAGGAACGACAGATACACACAGCAGACAGACACACTGGAACCTCAAAGCAAGCTGCTGGATTAGTGAGTTACCAGCGTAAGGTGTAGTTGCAGTTCTGGCGTAGTTAACGTTTGCCACAACAACATGTCGTTTGGCGCACAGCGAGTGAGAAGTTATAAATTTAAGGGCATGCAAAAGAAAGCATGTGGCATCAAGAACAGTACAGTGGGTCCTCTAGATAGCTTGTAAAATACCCCCTCACCACAACCACCAAAAAATGTAAAAAAAATGATAGCTTGTTTTTTCTTATACAATTCAATCCTGAGAGAAAAAGCAAGCAAAAAACTAACATCTTGAAAACATTTGCATATGTCAAACAGTTGAAAATAAAACAAAATAAAAGATTCATCAGAATCATATTTCATCAAACTTCTTAGATCTCTTATAAACAAGGCATTTTGCAACATCAATGCATCTAAGGCATTAAATAATTCCCTGCCCTACAATGTGTTTTTCCAAAGAAATTAGGTAGAAACGGTGATATTTCACTTGTCAGAATGTTTCACAGGTTATTATGGTCAAGTGCAGCAATTTGTTTTCCAGGCAAATGCTGTTGCCATTGCTCTGGCAATGTCCTATTAATAATCATGAGATGAACGTCTAAGAAATCTAGAGGATTTTAACTAGGACATCAGAGAAACTCCATTCTCTTTCTGAATAGTGTCACGGGATCTTCAACAGCCACTTGGGCAAAGCGGTCCTTAGTCTAAAATCCCATGCAAAAAGTAGCATTTCCTTGAATGCAGAGCTTCCCCAGGATTGCCATAGAAAGGCAGCAAGCAGAGGTCAATCAATTCCCAGAGAGGGAGGGAAAGTAGTTCAACTAACCTCAGATTGTTCTTATTTACTTTCTCTTAACTAGCTAATGGAGTTGCAGTCTCGGAGCAGGTTTAAGACCATCTTTGAACTGGGACGGTACAAGTTTAAAAGACTAAATTGTGCATTTTTACCGAGTCATTTTGATTAGCATTTCAAGATGCAACTAGATTTATTAATTCAGCATGAGTCAGATTTGAACACTTCTTAAAGCCTTTTTAATGTCTGCTTTCGAGGACCCACTGCTGCTTTTATAGGCTGCAGGATTATTCCCTAAATTAATTCTGACCTTGACGACAGAAGAACGAGGTCAGCTGGGAGATGTTCCCCATTGGTCGCCTTCACAATATCCCCCACTGTCACCTGTATTAATCCCAGCACACAGAGGGTAAGGACACACACACACACAACACACATATGGAGAGATCAAAATGATAGATAAAACAATAATAAAAAGATAGGTTTTGGTTGTAGTGAAGATTTCAGAAGTAAAAGTGTAACATAGCAATTAGAATTCCTTTGCTGTAACGTTTTTTCCCAAAATCCATTTCATTCATGTCAGATACAATGATTTGCACTCCGAGGTTTACCAAGCTTCTTTGACATGAGAACACTATCAAACACAGAAGGTGCTGTGAATCTTTGAATACAACTCAATTCTATTTTTAAGCAAAGAAATTAAACTACCGTGGACAGCATGGATTTGGTAACTCATCTTGAAGCGCAAAAGGTTCGGCATTTCCAATAATAGCCAAATAAATATTTTTAGTATATATTGAATCAAAAGTTACATGTAGATAGGTGCATCTCGGATTGGCAACACTCAACCAATGATGGTCAACCAAGATCTGAAGACAAAATATGTATGTGTATGAAAAGTCCTTCAGCTGGCTTGGAAAATATATCCAATTTTAAAAGTTAGCAAAATCTGCTAGCTTTTTCAATAGATTGGAAGAAAAATTCCTTGACTGAAGTCTGGACTTCATGGTTATGATTTTCACTCAAATACCAACACATCACCTTTCAGCAATAATTACAACCTTGAGATAAAATGGCAATGGGAGGGAATAGTAGAAATGTTTCACAAAGTTAGCACTGAAGAACTGTTTAAATGAACATTGACTGATACTGCATTTATTTCAGATATTGAGTTTTAACAAAAAACAGCTTTTGGCAATGAAAAAATAATCTAGGCTTGAATCTATGCAACCTGAATTGAAAAATGGATTTTGTAAAACAGTACTTATATCTAAAAAGCTTTTTAAGAAAATCCTCCAAGAAAATGGTATTGCAAAAACCGGAATGAACTAAATCTGCATTTGCACATTCACTTAGTGTATCGTAAATATCTGCATTTCACATGATTTGTTGAGTTTCAATCTGAAATAGACTGAATCTGGTGGCTGTCATGCAATAAATATTATTTTCCAAAATAGAATTAAAAAGGGAAATATTATAAACTAAAACAAATCCTTGTATTTAGGTGGTAAACAGATGAGAACAGAGATATTGTTGGGTGCTTCTTTGAAAGACAATCATGCAGAACAAACCTTTTCAAACCGTAGTAAAACGTATGATTGGGGTGAGAAACAATCTTCAAATATGTTAGTTAACACGAAGAAATAGCAAAATGTTAAAATTTGGGGGGAAATTGATCTAGTAAAGTGAAGGATAGAGGAAATAAATCATAGATCTGAGCCCTGTAATTATGAATTGCACCTTAGAAGAGAAACCAGCATTCCCCCCAGTTAGTTGTAAAAGACCATAATGAAAGGTAGGAATTTGCTCCAGCTTCAAAAAGCGTCAAGGGTTAAGTGTACAGAGATAATTTACATGTAACCACGCCAAAATCTTATGCATTTACTTAGGTTGCAACCAGCAAGAGATAATCTGACACAAAGAACCAAAGATGTTATCCCTGCTTAAAAATTAATTTCTCCACTACACTTTTACCTTTGAATGAAGATGAAATGCATTATAAAAAGGCAAATAAAACCATTTACACTTTGCAAATCTCAACAAGCCAAAAACGGCATCGCACTCACATACCCATTTGTTCAGAGGGAAATTTTCTTCAATGAGACTTACTTTTTTTTAAAAAAAGAGAAACTAAGTTATACGCTTCATCTTCTAGCGAGCATGAAGGACACGTATGTGATTTCCATCTTGTTAAACAAGATGTTGAGTTCGCTGCATTACGAAGCCAATGAAGAATGTTGGCCTAAGTGGTTTTTACTGACCATATTAAATTATTTTACTATCCTCAATCCAGAGCTGCTTAAAACTGAGATGATGAAAGTGCAATGGTTTTAAGCCCAGTCAGGACAGAAGCCATTAAAATTAAAATCTTATTAGTCGCTTGATTCTTGATGGCTGTCTACCGTAAAGATCTTCAACTAACTGGGTGAAATTAGAAATTTATTTTAAGGTTCTGAACAGAAAGAAGAACATTCACTCTGCATGGTCTAATTCAATTTCCCATTTTCTTGGAGCACAATTAGGAGCAGTGTAGGAGGTCGAGGCACCATTCTCTACACTTTACCCATCAGCATCTACCTGGTTGCCAGTAGCATAATATCAGCAGGTATGCGGTCTGAGTTGGCTAGTTTAATTATATCGCCACTCTCTATCTGCAAGAAACAAACTATTAAGTGGTTAACACCAGTGACTTTGAATGCAATAAGGAACTATGAAGTCTCACTCATTTTAGCAATTTGTTATAATACAACTAAAGCTACACTAAAATTCAGGATCGAGACATGTCAATGAAGTTCAGATACTATTCCTGTCACTAAGGAACCTGAAGAACAATGGGAATTTTCAGTGTTTAACACATTACATTCAAAACATTTTAAAGCAGTTTATACATTGTCGCAATATTACAGAAAAATAATTTACAGAACTTAGCACTTAATGGGTAAGCATGACTAACCACATTTTGGGAAACTACACAAATATCCATGACACAACTTGATATCAATTAAAACATCCACCCACCTTAAAATTCTAGACTTGTATATCACATTATCCACTGCGCCCCTTTATGACACTTAACAAATCTTTTGACATTGACTAATGGGCAGCCGTCTTTATGAAATTAACATTCCCTTTTGACATACTTGCCCTAGAGGGGGTGCAGCGTAGATTCACTAGGTTAGTTCCTGGAATGAGGGGACTGACCTATGAGGATAGGATGAATAAACTAGGGCTGTATTCTCTAGAATACAGAAGAATTATATTAAATATGAAACATATAAGATTCTTAAAGGGCTGGATAAAATAGACACTGAGGGTCTGTTTCCCCGGGTAGGAGAATCTATAACCAGGGCTCACAGTCTTAAAATTAAGGGTCAGCCTTTTAGAACAGAGTTGAGGAAACATTTCTTCACTCAGAGGGTAGTGAATTTATGGAATTCACTACCCCGGAAGGCTGTAGATGCTCAGTCCTTGAACATCTTCAAGGCTGAGACTGATAGATTTTTACAAAATAGAGGGATTAGGGATATGGGGATAGGGCAGGTAGTTGAGTTAGGTCAGAAGATCTGCCATGATCTTATTGAATGGCGGGGCAGGCTCGAGGGGCCAATTGGCCTACTCCTGCTCCTAATTATTATGTTCTTATGTTCTTCTCTACTCCTAGCTCATCCTGTGGTTAAAGTACTGTACATCTGAAGCTGGATTATTTTTAGTTAAACAACACTCTCTAATGCCAGTTTTTGATGAATTTCAAAATGTTGCTCAAAATTCCTGCAAAATAAAAGTTCCTGCAAAAGATTACAAGGTTACAAAAGTCTGAATCTTAAATCTATTAATGGTTTGAAAGGAACTTGCTTACATCTCTCGTGTCATTGATTTGTCCAAACTCCTTGCAGGAGCACTTTATGATTTTGCTAGGTTTTAACTGGCAAAAACACACAAGGTTTCTGTACGAGTTTGACAAGCTCAAACCCAGCGTACAACCCTGACTTTCTAATAAAGCCCAAAGTGGAACATGGCTGCATGGAACAGCACCAATCAATCAATAAAATGTAAAAATATCCCAGCGCTCAGACTGAATGTAAGCACTTGTGGGCTGAGCTGCCTGTTGTTTTTAAAGCTGTTTGTTCTACAGTGACTTTCCAACCTGAAGTTATAACAGCTTTTTGTGTAAGTGGAAGTAATGGATTAAATAATAGTTTCAAACCACTTTTGACATTGTTTTTTATAACTAGATTGCCAGGAAGTCTGTCTTTTTGTGCTCAAAATCAGGCCTGATAGGCATATAATAACAGAGGGGAGAGTTTTCACCATGGATGAACAATAGCCTGAAATGTTTCCTTAAATCAATCCAATTGCATTCAAAACTCCCTAATCACATTACAAGAATTCCGATTTATTGCATCTGCATAACAAGGCGCTGATGCGTGTATGTGGTAACTGGAAATTTCAATTCTTTTTCTAAAACTGAAGACTTGTATAGTGGTGCTAAGTAAGCATACAATTCTTATGATCATCTCAAAAAGATGAACAACAAAACCTTATTAAGTTAAGAAGTACAGCATGTGAATCTTTTTTTAAAAAAGGCATCCAATCCAATTAACCTAAAATTTTGCCCACAAAATATACAGTCAATTCACTTCACAGTATATTCTGTAAAGCACTTTGAGACATCCAGAAGACATGATAAGGCGCTGTATCAAATGCAAAGATTAATATTATTAAAATTTATACATTTAAAAAAATACACATCTTCCAAAGCTTTTTTGTGCACTTAATTAATGAAATTGTGTCTACTCTCAGTGTTTTACTAAATTGCCACATGAGAAGGAATTGAGGGTCTTTTGAAACTGGTATGTAGAACAGAACAACAACAACAAAATGCAACAAAATTACATTTGTACAGCACCTTTCACATCTCCAAAAATATCAAATTACAACTGTTCCATCATCAAAAGTTTGTAATACATATTTAGTTTTTCATAGTGGGTCCCATGACAGGCCTGTCTTAGCTGAGCAGTGGTGGTAGCCAATGGGTATGAGGAGGTCAGGGTGATAGGGAGCTGCCAGGCTATGAAAGCAATTGTGTGAGGACCTTGAAGTCGATCTGTCAGAGACAGGGAAGGAGCCAGTGGAGCCTGATCAAGGGTTGGGGTGATGAAATACAATTTAAAGTAGAAGAAAATAGAGTGAGTCTTAAGAACTTGGCAGATGGATTTATCAATACTGAAATGCTCAATCATTAGGTTCTCTATTTGGTCATCTTGATTGCTGTAGGATGGTTTGAGATACCTGGGCAGGATGCCAGCATTTTAATTACTAAGATTCCAGGCAGTCAATTCCTCACAAAAGCTTGAAGAATAATTGGTGCAAATCCATACGATTTAAAAAAACATTAACAACTTGTCCATATTTATGCAACATTGTAGAGGATTGCACCTGATTATTAATAAGTGGTGCTGGTAACATGATGCAGTACATTTTATCTGCAACCCCTGTCCTGTAATGTTATTTTCCCCATGAACTATTAGATTTAAAAGAATCTTCACAATCTTTTGTGCCAACCAATTTCCTAGTTTGATCATCTTCAGTGAAAAGGCTCGATTCTCATTTTAATTTTATTACAATCTCCAAACAGCCTAATAAAGGAGTACCATCAATAGTCATGAAGTCACTGATCCCGTGACCTGCCGCACCGCCAGCAAGTTTTGAAGCCGCAATTCACATGTTGGAACCGGCTGACTTTCAGCAAGTATTAGATTTTTGTTAATCAATGTAAGTACTCCCCAATTGTGAGTATAAATAAACCCATGTTATGATGGGGTTCTGAAGTTGTAGGAAACTGATGGTTTTGAACGTGGTGCAAACTGAAGAACTTGACATTCAACTGAAAGTAAAATCCACAGGACGGGAACATCCATCATATTATTTCAAGTGTGTCGAGTCCTCAAGACTCACTCTATTTTCTTTTGCTTTAAACAGTCCTCATAAACTCAGATTTATTCCCATTTACCATCTATTTCATCATAACAGAACTGGGTAATGCAATAGAGCAACTCCTTCAGCTAAATCAAGTCTGACAGATACTAATGCTCTGCTCTGTACGGTTTCTATGGAAACCTCTCATAAAGACAAGGTGGTGGCTGTCCCTCACATGTTGTGCTGTTCTTTTCTCTTTCTGGCTCACGTCCAATGTTTATAGTGACACTCTTTTCTCAGGGGAGAGATGGACTGAACCTCATTAACATATTCTTCTCTGCTGTGATTAATAGTAAAACAAACACTGGCTGGATATACATGAATGTGCTCATTAATTTTTTTTCCCTGACACAAATATTCATCATCTTAGAAAACACTAAGCGCTTTCATCAGATAAATGATGAGTATGGTCACTCGTTCAGATTGCACGGGTGATAAACATACCCCATCAGTTTCACACTTAACTAGTTTTGATAAAGTAAAATAAAAAATACATACCTTCTCCCAGTGAATGATTTCCCAAGCACCATTTCTCAGCACTGTAGATGAAAGCCAAAGAATTAAACCAGGTTAATTGGAGATTTACAACTGAGGAATAAAAACTACTGTTATTTATATTCCAGAATGTAATGAAACACAAAGCAGAGTTGAAACATTGATTCAATATCCACATTGCAAGGCCAATAGTACATCAATATTTGTAGAAAACAATCTATAAAATGTATTCATATTTTCTTTATTAAACTCCACATCAGTATAGTTTTGTTTCATCTATGACCTACATGGTCAGCATTAAACAATAAACCACTTTACAGTCTTAAGATTGACAGCAAGTCTAATTGTTAAAACAGAAAATTCACACAGCTTAGTAAAACACGCTGTTTCTTCACGGACCCGAGGGAGACATTATTGACAACCTGAGACTCCAGAGAAACCATGATTGATGAATACACACACCAGCCTGAGGGCATTAAGCCGTACAGATCTGAGTTAACTGATCTCAAGATTGGCTCTTGTGTTCCCAAGTTTAAACTGCCAACAATCACAGCCACTGCAAATGGCATAAACGGAAACTTGGGTGATGTGATTGAGGACAACCAGCAACCTTGACATCATACCCTAGTAAAAAGAAAACCTAAAACAAGATAGGAGAGGAGAATTTAAGAGAATCATTGGCAATAGAAAAGCTATCTATATTTGCAGGCACACTATTGTTCTTTCTGCCAGGCTGAACAGAGGCAAATATTTATTTGTCCATCAGTGCCTTCAGTCTTTAACTCTCCAGATTTACAAATGCTTTGCAGTTTCTTACAAAAAATGAAAATTGTTGGATATATTTTTGAAATATTATCAAATGTATTGACCTATGTGTACACCTGGCAATGAAATATCCTATGTAGACTTTGAAAGAAAAGCACGTATTTGATGTTTTCTAAATGTCTTTTCAAAACAAGTACTCTTTAATTGAAAATTAGCAGGGGCAGCCCCTATAGTACAGCTGATTAAGCTGCAGTTTAGTCGCTGGTTTGAATCCCGGTCTGGGCTGAGTTTGCTGGTCTCAATCAGGGCTGATGGGAAGACTAAATTGATCCCAGCCTTCCCAGGGTAAAGGAAGGGAAAACCATCAGAGTTCCTGCTCCTGATCCTTCTGCAGGTTGTGCACATGTGACAACCAGTTAGGTAGAGCTGCAAGATCCTCTATGGTTGAGTGGCCTGCCCACATTCATTGCCAAGGCTCACCCATGAACAATGTCCATGTGTGCAGCATAGTAGAGGGCAACCAGCACACATGGAAACACACCCCAGCAAGAACGGACCAGATTAGGAGCAGAGGCACGTACTCAAGAAAATTAGACAAATAATTGGATCTACCAAATAGGCAAAACAAATTAAGAGAATGCTCAGAACGATAAAACTGTAGAACACTTTTTCTGGAATACTTGTATGAAAGGACAAAAGGAAGATAATTCTGCACTAGCCTCAAAGTCTTATCCTTGCTGCTGAGATCTGATATTTTTGTACCTGAAGTTGTAACCTGCAAATCTAGTATGGTTCAAGCTCCAGTGTCAATCTTCATTCATGGCACTATTATGTTCCAATGCAGAACTTGAACCCATTGAGATATTATACCATCAATATCAGTGGAGGATTTTGATGTCTTGCAAATCTAATTTTACTGAAATAAATTGCAAAAGTTTCTTTTAGTGAAAATCATTAGCATTACAGTATCAACAGCATGCCCTTACCTTGTGCTTTTCTCTTGTTTACTGTATTATCAGCGCTGTGCCTTTTCTGCAAAAAGCAAACAAACTTGATTAGATCAGGTTTGTGGACAGGACGATAGCACTGGATTGCGGCTGATTTCATGTAAGAGTTGCCACTTTCTATGAATTAAGCCAGCAGACCCAATAGAAAAGCAAAACAGCTGTGTGGGTGGAAACGCAAAAGTTAATTACATGAAAGTGTTTTAAGAAAGTACAAGCTAACCCGGTGACCCAGCAGGAACAGCGATCACCTGGGTACAATAATGAAGGGTCCCAAAGATACGAACCACAGTTGCGATGAATTAGCTCAAGCCAAGCAGTTGGAGCAGCGTAAGTTCGTTTTGTATCTAATAGGTTTGGGGATGGTGGGGAGGGAACGGAAAGGAAAAAAAATAGTCAAGGTTCCTGCTCCTGATCTCACACATTGGGCTCTTCTCTTCTAACAGCACGACAAGTCGACTGCCCCATTTGTCCTCACAGCTGATCTACAGACAAACTACCAGTGGACTGTAAATAAGTGGTGATGCTTAAACTAATACAAATACGCACCCTCTTTTAAGTAATCACAATACATTCAGATTATGGTACTGTGAGCAAAAGATGAGCTTTGTAAAGTGGAGAATGAGCACAAAATACATACTTTTATTAAAGATGAAATCATATCAAGTATCATTTAAATGTGATTGCACAACAGCAGAAACAGCATCAACTAACAAATGGTAAACATTAACTTAGTAACAGTAACTGCTGACACCCTCAAAAGACAAGCTAGCTCAGTTCTTGATCAAATTACTGTAAATGACAAGGTAGGTGCAATGTGGGAAGAGGCATGTTATTTCTATGGTGTTAATAGCATGGGGGAGCGAGGGATGTTGCATTGTTGGGGTGCCGTTGATCGGATGAGACTTTAAACTGATGTCTTGTCAGCCTGTTCAGGTGGACAATAAAGATCCTACGGGCACTATTCGAATAGAGAAGGGATTTTTCCCGGTGTCCTGGCCAAGAATCTCCCAAATAAAATTGGTCATTTGTTTTATAGCTGTTTGTGGGATTGCTGTGTGCAATTGTCTGCCATGTTCACCTACAAATGCACAGTCCATTTCACAGTAAATCCTGTGAAGCGCTTTGAGTCATCCTTCCGAAGTTATAAGGCGCTATACGAAATGCAAGGATTATTATATTACAACAACAAAATTGCATTTATAGAACGTCTTTCACGCCGGGAGGACGTCCCAAGGCGTATTCAAAATGGAAGAAAAAAGTGTGAGGGAAAAAAAAGGGTACATTACCCAATGGAGATACTTATATTTCAGGCCTCCTCCCATTCTAGTTCAGTTTATAACATCTCTCTGATAATGAAAGCTATAGCTGCAAATAGAGAGACTTCTACAGTAACTGAGTCAGGGTCAGAAAGGAGAAGCCAAGTTGTGTCGTTCGGAGTACTTCTCACAAAGGAGAAGACGTGAACCAACGGTCAATATCTGGACTGTCAGGTCGATGCTGACATCACTTCTTGCTCACACACGTGTGCTGTGCGCAGGAAGTACCACTGGCTTTACAACAACAACTTGCATTTATATAGTGCCCTTCACGCAGCGTAGTATCTTGGAGCTCTTTACGCAAGAAATGACAGGAGAGGTCTCCTGCACACAGTGCACAACAAGCGATCACAGCAGTAACCTGACGACCTAGAAGTTGGACACGTTTCAGCCTGGGAAGCTGGCGTGTCAGAGTGGGTGCACTGGAAACAATTACAGATGGCACAGATAGCAACAGGACCTGCACTATAAACAAGGCAGCACATATATAATCAAGATCACTAGAATTGGGTTCCCTTGTATAAGTCTTAATTAGCTTTGCAAATTAGTTGCGAGTTCTAATCTTCAGTAACTGTACATCCTTTCAAAATGAAGTGACCAAATTGGTAACTCTAGCACACAATTGTTCGATGGTTGGACCCCAGGACTATACTGTGGTCGGAGTTATTTTTTTTAAAAAAAACAATGGTCAAAACAATCTGCCACACGTTATCCAAATAGGGTTTCCAAGAGAACTTCGAGGCTGTGCAACTTGGGTTGTTTATTTTCACAGCAGGTCTTTTCTTGCTGCTGTACAAGTGTTCAACGTTTTTGTAAGCAGCTTGAAACCATCACACCGGCACAAAGTTCAAATACGTTGGATGATTCTGTGATCCCCTATTAATAAAAATCCTTACATCTGATATTACACCATCATGTCGGAGAAGGTAGGAAAGCTCTTCACAGGATATACTGCAAAGTATAGCAACTGTGTGTTTTGTTGGCAAATGTATTCAATGTTCAGGTGCACTATGGGCACAAAATTCTCTTTCTGTGTCAAGCTGCTCATGGAGTGGGGGAGAACACCACCGGGTTGCAAGCTTTCACTGTTGTGGTTGGGGTACTTTCATTTTTGTTCAATGGTGTGAGGCATTCAATGCCTTCAGATATATTTTACGTGTCATTTTCATGAGCTGGTATGTCAGGGAGTAAATAGCTTGATGAAGATTGCAAAAGATGAAAGGCTCTTACCCTTCTCATTTATGCAGTAGTGTAAAATATATTTTTTATGATTTAGGTGTAGATGTTAGACGATTGCACTTGCAAAGTGGACTGGAATTATACCCTGCATTAACATTCAGCTCTCACACAATTGGATTCAATAACTCACCTAAGCCACTACACTCTGTGCTCAATTTAAACAAAACCATTTATATTCCACAAAGTTATATAAAAACAAATGGGTCTTAAAGCTGATAAGAGATCCATTTTTTGAAAGGGGATTGATAATAACTCCTTTTAAGATTCAATTAGCTAAATTGATGATGGAATTTGACAATTTTCCGTCCCAATTTTGTGCTTCAATTTAATGTCTGAATAATAATTTCATGACACGAACAAATAAAGCTGTACACCTGTATAGCAGCAGCAAATGAGAATGCTGTGCAAGATAAAGTTGTTGATTATACACATAAACTACACAATGTAGGGGGTTTCCAGCACACAACACTGACTTAACACAATTGTAGACAATTCTGTGACTTTTTTAAAAAAAGTTGCAATAGTAACCCTTGCATTTGACCTTTTCACACAGTCTAAGGCCTCAAAGCACTTCACAGTAAAGTGGTGCAACTGTATTTTGAGGGTAAATGCTGCAGCAAATTGGTGCAGAGCAGTGTCCCACAAACAGCAAGATTGTACTCAATCTTGTGTAAGATAATATTTCATCAAAGCAGTTGTGATATTACACGACAAGGTTATCAGAACAATCATCTTGCCCATAACTGTAAAACTTTTTACAGTAATAACTGTAAAACTTTTTACAGTAAGTGCTTTCATTACATGGTGCAGGGGAACCTATTATAACACTCTTCGATTTAGTGCTGCATCTCTTAATGTGCGGTTCCCCTATGGATCCATGTTAATCAGAAGAGTGGTGCACCTGGCTCGCAGCATTGACCATCCAGCTTCCTGTGCTAACAAAATGCTGATTCTGGGTTGTGGAGTTGCACCAACGTCACTTTTTGTGCATGTGACACTCCAGAGCTGGGGGAGCGCTGAATTGCCAGAACTATTGTTGTCAGAGGTATCCTCACCCTTGTCTTCAAATCCCTCCACTCCTCTGCAACCCCCCTATCTCTCTGATCTCCTCTCTCCTCACAACAGTGCCCATTGCCTTCGCTCCACCCGGTCTGGCCTCCTCCTTGTCCCAAGTCCTCTGCTGCACCATCAGAGGCCGTGCCTTCAGCCACTACGCCCCGAGGATCTGGAACTCCTTTCCTCACTCCCTTCACCTCGCCTCCTCTCTTCCTATTTTCAGGTCTCGGCTGAAGACCTTTCTTTTCGACCGCACCTTTGGTCACCTTCCTCCCCCTCGCTCGGCCCTGGAATCCGTTATTGTGAAGCGCTCTGAGATGCCGTCCGGCGTGGAGAGCACTATATAAATCCACGTAAAATCCTGTGTAGTGGCTTTACAGTGCTAGTTCAACATGACAAATTTTGGTGGTAGTTTTAAGCAATTTTTTTCCAATATTCCCAACATAAAAGTCTAACTCATGCTTCTTGTACACTTCAAGTTTGCAGGTAAAGTGTAAAGAAAAGGTGGCTAGATTTCCCAATTACCAAATTTGAAAGAACAGTTTCTAAAGTCAGATTTCCCATCGTCTCCACTCAACAGCAGATCCCACACCACAATGAAAAGGCTCACATTGTTGCAATCTGATCAAATAACATCCACAATGATTGCTTTGGAAACTCCTTTAACTGTTGACTACTTACAATGTCTTCTACGATTTCTTTTATTCCAGCCACAAAAAGAATTAACAACAGTGGAACCAAAGTAGTGTAACGCCCAGTTGGGGAAACATCAGGGATTTGCTAAAGGAAAGAAGAAAGATGCATTATAATATTATACAGCAAATGCCTTATAGATGCTGCAAAACATAGGGCCTTTTATTACATTTAATCCATTAACATTTGGCTTAGCTGAAATGTTAATTGGGCTCCTCAAAATCATTATCAGGGCCCTCTTTATTTCCTCTTGCATTTCCCTTGACTACTCTAGGATATAACCAGCTAGGACAGATCTGGCCTAGCCCTGTTTCCTGACAGATATAACGCTTATTAGTACAAAATGCTTTAGGAGGATCAAAAAAATCTCAAAAGTTTTAAACCGTATTTATACAATACAAAATTGCATTTGTATACGGTCTTTCACTTCAGGAGGACATATAAAAGGACTATATAGTGTACAAGAAAAAATAGGAAAGGTATCTGGCAACTAAGATTCAAAGTTAAGATGAAAGAAAGGTTAAGAAGCCTGAAAGTTTGGGTTTCTGCAGTTTCCCTGGGTGGTGCACAAATCATAATAGCTCATTTACCGGAGGAAATCTGACAGATTAGAAAAGATCAGGAGATCGTAAATGTCTTAAACAGATTTTCGCAGATGCTTTCACAAATTCCAGATGTTCTGAATGGATTATCTCAGCATCTTTAAATGAAGTGTACATCATTACAGTGTTTGTTATGAAGAACTGCAAGATGTAGAGGATGAAATTCCTCTCCTCTTTGCTGTTTAAGTGCAGCAACACTGAAAATGTGCACCTATAAATGGGATCGCATCTGCAAGGTAACCGGGCGAGACAGAATACAATCTAGAATTATGAAGGAAGTCATAAGAAATGCATGAGAATCTGATTTACTATATTTAGAAGTTCAGGGGTCAGCATGATGCTCAGTTGGTAACATTTTCGCCTCAGAAGACTGAGTTCTAGACTTGAACTCGTAGTCTGGGCTGATTCTCCCAATCAGGGCTGGTGTACTGTCAGAGGCACTGTTTTTCAGATGAGACTCAGTTCGAGTCTGCTTATCCTCAGGTGGATGTCAATGATCCCAAGTCACTATTCAAAACGATTATAGAGGGTTCACCTAACCCCATATAGGCCTTCACTCAATCAGACTAAAGCTAACAAGGTTATTATGTGGCACTTTAACACATTTGCCAAAAAAGGTCACGCTATACGTGACTAACTATAAGCACTATACAAATACAACTTCATCTTCCATAAACACTGGAGTTATGCTTGAAACCTAAAGGACAATAAATGTTATCCAATTATTTCAAAAGTCAGTAATTGTAGTGGAGGAAATTGCATGAATGAGTCATAAGAGCAACTTGCATTTATATAGCGCCCTTCAAGCTACATGAATGCAATGTGTCATATACAGGAGGCTATTCCTGTTCTTGAGATTATAATAGTAATATGTTGTGCTTCACAAATTCATAGCAAATTAGCTAGTTGGTTGAAAACTGTCTTGGTATTNAAAACAAACATTTGGAGTCCTGTAGCTCAGTGGTTGGAGCACTCGTCTCTCAAGAGAGTGACCTGAGTTTCATTCCCGGCAGGGCGAAACCTTGGGCAAGTTTCCTTACTCAGCAAATGGCTGCCGCATTTCGCCCACAAATACAGTCAATTCACTTAACAGTATATTCTGTGAAGCGCTTTGAGACATCTAGAAGACGTGAAAAGCACTATATCAAATACAAGGATTATTATTATTATATAATCACGACTACACTGACTCAGCACCAGGCCTGCACCTCCATTGTCTATCCACTCAAAGCTCAGACAGCCTGAAATGTGTTGAACATTTTGAATAGACTATTTTCTAAAAAAACACATATGCCAAACCTCAAATGAAATAAAATGCCTCATCACGCTCAAGTAAATAAGTGGAACGGATCTCTAACAAGGCCACACAGATTCTTCTCTCGAAAATGGAGATGAAGTCATGGAGATGAAGATGAGGTCATTGTTATTGGAGAGATGTGTATTGAACTCCTTTGTTTGCAGTCAGGTTCAAGAGGGAGTTATCAGCTATTCTATTCTAAGGAATTTTTCAGAAATATCTAAAAGGGAAAAGTTAAAAAATCATATTTCTTGTACATATTATTTAATAAGCTTACCTGGAGGAGAGCTATGAAAAGAAAAAATGAGTTTGCTGCTCTTCTAAACTGTGAATACAGGAACCTCGGCAGAAATGTAACAACATTGTATTTTGCAGTGCTAGGGAAACAAAGGAGAGAAAAACATTCAGACCCAGACTTTAGATCAAGAATATATTTGAATCAGAATTTCTGTTTTGTAGTGTATGTGCTTTGGAGCACATTAACATAACAAGTCTAATCTGATCATAATGAGCCTATCCTGCAAAACTGCACATTCAACTAAAAACAAGAGCCAGTTGACACAAATGAATCCATGTGTGTTTCAACAACTAAAAACAGGAACAAGATTGCACAAGCAAATGGCATCTGTATACAGGAATACTGCTCAGTTAGAGAAGTACCGAAGAGAGCCCCCAGCCCCCATTTCACTCTACTGACAAAACAGCTATGTTGCAACTCCTTCAAGGCCCACAGTCCGCCTGCAATGTCAGAACACAATATAGCGACATACACATTCCTGTTAATATCTCAGTGTGGGGGTCATTGCACACCCACATCCTATTATTCCCAGTTCGAATCCCTCCACAGTCTCGCCCCACCCTATCTCTGCAACCTCCTTCAACGACACCAAACCGATTGCTCCTTTAGCTCAGAATTCTGGCCTGCTTTTTATCCCCCATCATTGGGCAGGCTTTCAGCCATTCTGCACCGGGTCTACGGAATTTCATCCCAGAGTCCTTCCCCTCATTCAAAGAACATCTCAACTCATACCTCTTTTGAATTTTCAGTCATCTTTCTCCTCACCCACCTCCCTTGGCTCCCACCCTCTGTTCGGATGCCCAGCCAGCAGTGTTGGCTTTCAGACATCCCCCTGCCATGCAAGGTGTACACTGCATTGCATTATCAACAAATTCAAGCTCTAACAACCTGTTCCACAAGATCTGAATTGTTCATTGTGTTTGGCAGCCATTGCAACTGGCCAACCAGTGTGAAGTGAGGGGACTGGAAGGTGCACATACAGACCGATGCACATTGTACGGATTTTGTTTGGATGGACACAGTTTTAAACCGTTTTAATCTCATCGACCCGTCAGTACATTTCCACTCTAAATGGAGTCAATTGTTCTGAGTCAATGTGCGGTCTCAAGATAAGATGCTGATCTCGGCTGGAGTGCAAGGCAAGCCGCAGGAAGGACGGACCTGACCCACAGCACTGGGGGTGTGGGTGGGGAGGAGGGGTAAGAGAGGAGAGAAACAAAAGGCTAGACAATTCCTCGCCATGGCTCTACAACCAGGCTATTGAGAACAGACGTTAGGAATGTCAGGGTCGAATTCCTGCCTACCTGTCTGCCCACTCCTACAAAATCTTTGATGAGTTAACAAACCTATGTTCCATCAGTCAACTGACCAGGAGGCAGAGAGAGAATCGTAACCGGCAATCAATTCACAAAATGTGCTGCACTATTTGAGTTTTTATTGAACTAATCCATCTTCAAGGTGTGGATACTGCCTTTCTGGTCACAGAGCAAGTAAATGTCTTTGATAAATGGGTTACAACTTGAGGAGCAACATTGAAGGTAGAAATCCTTACAAAGATGGGACACAAAATATAGAGTGCTGTATTATACATGAACACCCTGGATTACGCTGAAACAGATCAGTTGATGCTATGACCCGAACGAAGCAACCAACAATTAAATTTCACTGAAAGAAGATTGGAAATATTCGTACCTGACACGATTATTACAAAATTTTGTTTCCGGAGGTTGGTTAATAAATATTGTTCTCATATCCTCTTGATCAGCCAATGAAGTTTTTTCTGAAGCGTCCTCAGTCTTCTCATATCCTTAAAACAAATGCAGATGTAAACAAATTACAACATAAAAAATTACAACAATTACAATTTGCATTTATATAGTACCCTTCATGCAAGATAACATCTCAGAGCACAATAAACAATAATGCCCTGTGAAGATTGTAGAACATGTTGAGCAAAGCTACAATCCTTTTAATGATCATTGATGTTTTACAAGACTCTTCCCCATCCAACTTCTTTAATGGAGACACAACACACAAACAAAAGCTCTTAGTTTGGTGCACAAAGCTCAGTTCTGTTAAATATAGATGTTAAAATTAATTAGAGGCAGAGATGCCAAATGCCCAACCACCAATGGTGGGGCGGGAAGTGCGGGAGAACTGAAGCAGGCCTGTGTCCGCCAAGCAGAGGGAGCGGACAGGCTGATATGATATGGGGTTAGGAGGTCGGAAAGGTAGGGGGGAAACAACACTGTGGAGGGCTTTGAAGGTGAGAACGAGGGTTTTGAACTCCATTCTCTGAGGGATGGGGAGCCAGTGAAGCTGGGCAAGAATGGGGGTGATAGGTTCACGTGTGAGACATGAGTTGCAGAGTTTTAAATAATCTGCAGCTTGTGGATGGAAGAGTTGGGAAGTCGAGCGAGTAGGCAGTTGGCGTAGTCAAGCCGGAACGTAATGAATGAGTGGATCAGTGTCTTGGGGGCCTGTGTGAGTCACAGTGGCGGAGGTGGGCATTGTTGCGAAGGTGGGGAAAGGCGGAGCAGGTCACAGCATGAATGTGGGGTTTGAAGGATAACTGGGGGTTGAAAAGCACACCGAGGTTTCGTTGTTATTGTTGTATTGGCTCGGTGAGGTGAAGAGTCCAGCCATGAATGGTGATAGTCAGCGGCTGAGGCGAGGAGGCGCTGCCAGGATCCAAGCAGGAGGGCCTCTGTCTTGCCAACATTGAGCTGGAGGAAGTTTGCTCTCGTCCAGGACTTGACGTTAGACAGACAATTTGCCATGACATCAACGGTCCTGGAGTCGAGGGTGGAGGTGGCAAGATACAGTTGGGTGTCATTCGCATACATGTGGAAATTGACCACATGCCTGCGGATGACATCAACGAGCAGGAACACGTATAGATTGAGGAGAAGGGGACCGAGGACAGAGCCCTGAGGGACGCCACATGCAACAATGCAGGAGTTAGAGGAGAAGCTGTTGCCAGACAACAAATTACATTTGTATAGTGCTTTTCAAGTCGGGAGGATCATCATAATATTTTACAATAAATTCTGTGAAGCACTTCGAGATATCCTCCTGACATGAAAAGTTCTACCTCAAATGCAAGAATTGTTATTATTGTTATTATTACCCCAGAGTCAGTAAACGGAGGAGAAGAAAATGGAAAATTGGATAAGGGGATTAAATTGTTATAATTTAAAGAGCTAAGAAGTAAAACGTTTTGAAGCAGATATCTGGCTGGCAATATGAAATGAAGAGGGAGCAATTTTCATACAGATATTCTCATTTAGTTCAAATTGGTTTAATAATGTCAAAACTTACTACAACAGCAGGCTGAATATTCAGGGTAATGCAGTTTAATAATAATACTAATAATATTCCTTGTATTTGATAAAGCACCTTATCACATCGTTGAGACATCTCAAAGCGCTTCACAGAATATACTGTAAAGTGAATTGACTGTGAATTTTGTGGGCGAAACCCAGCAGCCAATTGTACAGCAGTGTCCCACAAGAAGTCGTGGATTGAGTGACCAAATAATTTTTTTTGTGCATTTTCAATATAAACAGTTTGCCAATCCAATTGATTTTGTTGAAGGATTTAATCAACTCAGCTTCTACCAACTCCTACCAGGTATTAATCTTGAAGAAACAAATGCAAGATTAACCTCTTTTCGCAGGAGTCTGCTTTAAATTTCTATTGTGGGAGCACAAGAGACACTGTACATTCCTAGTCTTGCTTGAGGCCGCTTTTATTTATATTGATGTGGTTTAGTTCTGAGATCACAGGACATGTTAAATAGTTGTCTTACAGCGAGATGATCTCTGGTTCTTAGTACTTAAGTAAAAAAAGTTTCTCCCACCCCCACTCTTGCTCTCAAATCTTTTGCTAATAATAAGTTAAATTACCCATGGATGAAGTAGATAACTATCAAGCAAGATGATTACACTAGCTGAGTGCAACATCAACATTTTGGGCAGGTTAAAATATCATCTACAACAATTTGCATTTATATAGCACCCTTCAAAAAGGGTAGCATCTTGGAACGCTTGTAGTACAAATCTAAGTGCACTGACTGATATGTAGTGTTCAACATTATGCCCCAAGTATTCAGTGGAAAGCAAACTCCATTTCAAGCACTAAGTCATGCTTCCAACGTGAAAGGCACTGTACAAATATAAACGTAACATTCCTAACTTCAGTCAGAATGTCAATCTTTGGAATGGTAATAAAAGGACAGTCTTGTGCACACATGGAGATTGATCCAAAGGCAGTTGAAGTCTGTATGAGCATTGATTAGACTGAGAAACTTGTTGGAATTCTTAACCCTCCAGTAGTTTAATTAATACTATATTAGACTTCATTACACTGTGTGCTGTTCAGTAGACCAGATCAGAAAAATGCTTTTATTGCCTACACTGTTCTTCACAGTCTACCTTTCTTTCCTACGTCTTAAATAACCATAAAAAGAAAAACATTGCTCAGCATCAGTTGTCCAAATAGCCCCTCTGTGAGGATCAGCTACTCCTTTGTCCACTATCTGTAGCTTACAGTCAATACAGAGTGATCTTATAACAATTATAATTCTGGCATTTGATCCAACGTGTTATCACTGCCAAAATGCCTCGAATCGCTTCACAAAATTTACTGTAGAGTCTAGTGACTATATTTTCTAAGTGAATGCAGCAGCTAATTTGTGGGCAGCATTGTCCCACATCTAGCCACAAAGTGAATAACCATTTTTTTCTGGAGGATTGTTGGCCAGGACATCCTTCTCTTTTCAAATAGTGCCATGGGATCTTTAACGTCCACAGGATCTAACTATTCTCAACAATATAACTTCCGTTTGTCAGTCCAATTATGGTTGAATACATTTAACACACAACTTATTTGGATATGAACCAAAAGCCTGGATAAAATAAAATCCCCACAGCTGCTCATAGAAAATTGAAATAAAATCCCTCCAGCTGCTAAGAACCAGAAATTAGTCCCTGGGAGGGTGAAATAAATTTCTTTGAATGTACCAGAAACATTGCTGGTAGTGAACCAAACCAGGCTTGGGATGACAGCTGCTGGAAGCAGATATGAATACACACTCCAGGGCTTACAATCCACTTTGACTGATATGCAAAGGTACACTTCCAACTGGTGGAACCATCGCTCAATGGGTAAAGTTCTACATCCTAGCTGTGGGCAGAGGAATGATGGCAATGTTCTCACACATTTCATGCTGGGTTGTGCTGCTGACTAAGGGGCTTACAAGTCATCAGGTTGCTGCCATCGTCACTTTCTGTGCACTTTGTTGCCCACCAAATCCTTTCAGAAATTGGGTAAGTCATGTGTATCTCCCCAGGGAAAGGTTCATATTCTACTCAAGACATTGCAACCCTCCATTTGTAGGGAGCATACATATGGTTAACTCTCAGTCTGGCTTGTACATTTCCAAGCATGGTGGTGGGTTCCCACAATTGAGACACCCAGCTGACAAATAAAAGTGAATCAAATATTAATATCTAGTGGTACATCCAGTACTTGAAGGATATTACAACAGAAAGTACTGCCCTCAAGACTGACCTTGTCTGATAAAGCTTTTGATAAGTTTAATTATTTTCAGTAAAAGATAAAGATCAACTCAGTAAATTGAAGAATAGTAATTAATCTTTGGGAGATTTTTTATTTAAAAAAAGTCATTACATTAGGTTACGACTGGATTGGCATCAGATTAAAAGATGGTAAATTCAAAATGGAACACTCAAGTTACTAAACATATGAATTCTAGGTGAAACTATACTAGAAAAAGTAATTCAAATAAAATGTATTCAATATCCTTTAATAGTTTGCCAACTGAGGATTGTGCGATCCAGATGCATTTCACAAATTGGTCATGGTTTAGATTTGTAACCTGTTTTCTCTGCCCCTAAAGACTATTTGTCACAACAGCTGTGGGTGGAATAGATGGGATAGAATATTTAGGTCCTCCTAGGGCTGTGTAGGAAATTTATGTTGTTGGCTTCACGGAAGGGAAACGTTTGTTCAAGAAGGGAAGCTTAATAATAAATTTGCACTGATAGTGTATTGTAGGCAATTCTCAAAGTGGTTGAGAAATGCAGTGGAGAGCACTAATCAGGGAATAGGCAGATGTAAAGATGCTGACCAAATGCATGGTTGAAGAGACATTGATAGAAGAGTTATGAAGGCAGGGACAGAGGTATTTAGAGGAGACTCAAAGGACAGTGGATGAAGATTTGGCCACCGACAGTTGAATGGAAGGAGTGGTGAGTAAACAATAAAGCAGAAACAAACAAACTGAGGATGAGTGCAAGAGAAGAATGTTTAGGTAGGGAGGAGCAAGCTTGTGGAGGCCAGGACTCAGTTCTCAGATACTGGATGCTCCTTAAACTAGGATGGGGTTAATGGGTGCGTGGAGATTTATGCAGGAGAGAATTAGGGCTATGGTTATGATCTAGAAGTCAGAGCTTGGTTTGGCCAGAGAGCAAGGCAGACAGAGAGGGATAGCACAGTTACATAAAGTTAAGTTGTATCTTGCAGCAAATGGTTGAGGTAGTTTTTGAAAATACTTGCATTTAAATGTCGTCAGAATGTCTCAAAATACTTCACCAGAATTATTGCAAAGTATCGGTATAGGAAGCAAGATTCTGAAATTCATCATGCAACAGGTGAAATGCATATTTTACTATATGCTACAAAAGCATTCAACATCAAAAAGTGGTGAAAAAATATCCAAAGACAGGAAAAATAGGTTTCATAAGCATTTAAAAACAAATATGGCACCTCCTATACTTTTTG